ATCCACATGCTTCGGCCTCCCAGAGTGCTGGGATTACAGGGTAAGCCACTGTGCCCAGGCCCATCTATCCCTTTTTCATCTTTTTATTTATTTAAATCTTTCCCCTTTTTCTCAGTCTAGCAAAAAGTCCGTCAATTTTGTTTATTGTTTGTACAAACCAACTCTTGGTTTCACTAATCTTTTTGTATTTCTCTTAATCTCTATTTTGTTTTTTTTCTACACTGATCTTTGTTATTTCTTTCCTTTTATTAATTTTGGATGTAGTCCTTGTTTTTCTAGTTTCTTGAAAGATAAAAGGTAAAAAGGCTAGTTCCTTGTCCATAAAAGAAAACTAAAGTCCAATTTGGTAAATTGGACTTCGTCAAAATAATAAGATTCTGCTTTGCAAAAACCCTGTTGCAAGGGTGGAATGGTGAGCTACAGAGCAGGAGAGAAAGTATTTGTTTGATGTATAATGATAGGTTGTTCATTTGGGGTCTTTCTAAAACAATGCCTGAAGTATCACATAAAATATAATTAATAATATAACTGCAAATACTAACTAGTAGTACTGATAATATTCTTAATGCTAATTAATACTAATATTAAAAATAAATATTAGGAGAGGAATGCTACAAAATGGAAACCCTAGGTTGTTTAAGTTGAGTTTCTGCCCTGGGATAGTAAGGATAAAAAGTTGGAATAGGCTTTGGGCAGGGAGCCAGTCTTAAAATAGATCACAGACTTAAATGTAAAACATAAAAATATAAAACTTTTATTATTGGGAGACAGTCTCATTCTGTAGCTCTAGGTGGAGTCCTGGGGCATCCTAGCTCACAGCAACCTCAAACTCCTGGGCTTAAGTGACCCTCTTGCCTCAGCCTCCTAAGTTGCTGGGACTATAAGTGCCCATCACGACATCTGGCTAGTTTTTCTATTTTAATAGAGATGGGATCTCGCTTTTGCTCATGCTGATCTGGAACTCTTGAGCTCAAGCCATCCGCCCACCTCAGCTCCCCAGAGGGCTAGAATTACAGGTATGAGCCTCTCTGCCTGGCTAAAAATATATAAAACTTTCTAGAAAAAAAAAAATAGAAGAAAATCTTCAAGACCTAGGGCTTAGGGAAAGAGTTCTGAGATATAATACCAAAGACATTGTCCATAAAAGAAAACTGAAGTCCAATTTACTAAATTGGACTTCATCAAAATAATAAGATTCTTCTTTCCAAAAGACCCTGTTGCAAGGGTGGAATGGTGAGCTACAGAGCAGGAGAGAAAGTATTTGTAAACTACACATCCAGCCAACAGCCAGTGTCTGGATTAGGTAGTGAACTCTCCAACTCAAAAGAAGAAACAATTCAGTTAGAAAATGGGTAAAAGACATAAAAAGACATTTCTCAGTAGAGGCTATCCACATGGCAAATACACACATCAAATGATGTTCAATATCACAGTCGTTAGGGACGAGCACACAGAAGCTACAACAAGACGGCACTACACATATAACAATGACTAAAATATAAAACAGAGTGACAATACCAAATGCTGGCAAGGATGTAGCGAAACTGGATCACTCATACATTGCTGGCAGGAATGTCATTGGAAAACATTTTGGCACTTTCTAGTAAAACTAAAATGAACTACAATATGATCTAGTAATTGCTCTTTGGGGCATTTATCTCAGAGAAATGAAGACTAATGGTCCACAAATACGTCTACCTGGGTATTTTGTTTATAATAATCCAAAACTGAAAACGTATCTTTTAATGGGTGAATGGCTGAATTAACTATAGTAGAACTGTACCATGGAGTAGTACTCAGCAGAAAAGGAACAAACTATGGGTATACCCCACGGCCTGGGTGAATCTTCAGAGAACTATGCTAGAGTGAAATTCCAAACAGTTACCATACTGGGTGATTCAATTTATAGAACATTCTTGAAATGACAAAATTATAGAATTGGAGAAGAGTGGTTTCCAGAGGCAAGGGTGAGGTCAGGGGAAGAACATAGGTGTGGCTATAAAAGTACAAATAAGATCCCTGTGGCGTGGATTTCACACTTGCTCTGTGTCTTGACTGTACCAATATCATATCCTGGTTGTGATATTGTGATATTGTAAGACTACAGTCTTGCAAGATATGGCCATTGGCAGAAACTCGGTAAAGGGTACAGAGAAGATCTGGGCTCTTTCTTACATAGCATGTGAATCTGTAATACCGTACAACATAAAGCTTAATCAGAAGAAGACATTTTTGGTGATATAGGGAGTTACCATGGAACGATTAAAAACATTCACTGGGAAAATAATAAAGATTCAAATATAGAAAGGAAAAATTCACAAAGTTTTAAGTAGAAATTGATATATCCAACAATAATACTTGGAGATTTTAATACATTGCCCCCATAAACCGAGATATCCGGTATAAAAGTCATACTGTGTCTTGCTTTAGCTCAAAACACTCCAGTGGCCTCCCAGCTATTCAGAACAAAAGTGCAGGACCTCCCTCTGCTCTCTGCCTCATTAGCCTCTCTGTTCTGACCGGCCTCCTAGTGGGTACTGGTGCCTCATTCTGCTCATACCTCTGTGGCTTCCTCAAACTCTCTTCGACCTCAGGAGTAATCCTGCCTCAGGGACTTTGTACCCTGCAGTTAGATCTGCCTGAGAAGTTTCCTCCAGGTATGAAAGGCTCACTCCCACACTTCTTAAAGGTACCTACTCATCATCTTTTGATGCTTTCCGTGGCCATTCTGCCTAAGTGTCTTTTACACACACCCCCTCCTTTCATTTTTTTAAGAAGTCTTTCCCCACAGTATGCATCACAAGATAACATAGTTTAAGTTTTACAACTTTCATCTTCTGATACTTTGCCTGCCACACTGGCATGGTAAGGTCCACAGCAGCAGATTTGTTATCAGCTATTTTTTTCCCCATTGTTGAATTACCAGTACCTGGAACAGTGCTTGGAATATAGAAGGTTTTCAATGAATAGAAATTAACTTAATGAAATGAATAAAACTTAAAATATGGCTTTGCTTAGAGAGGAAAAGTTTCTCTTTTTTTTTCTTTTCCTAGGATAGGAATATTAAACATTTAAGTATCTTGTGCTTAAGTGGGATTATCCAATATAACTTGATGAATTTGGTGAAATGATTCAAAATTCATCTGGATTAATAAATGAGTCATCAGAGCCATTCTTTAAGTCAGAGAACAAAAATACGGATTTTAGCTATGTAATGTTCATTTGTTACATAGTTTAAGAATATTCAGACATAGAAGACAAAACAATTAGGAAGGATACAACTTGTAAGATGTAGCCTGGGTGTGGTGCCCATGCCTGTAATCCTAGTACTCTGGGAGGCCAAGGCAGGTGGAAAGCTCGTGAGTTCAAGGCCAGCCTGAGCAAAAACGGGACGCTATCTCTACAAAAAAAAAAAAAAAAAAAATCTGAGCGGCACCTGTGGCTCAGAGGAGTAGGGTGCCAGCCCCATATGCCGGAGGTAGTAGGTTCAAACCCAGCCCCAGCCAAAAACAAACAAACAAACAAACAAAAAAAAAATCTGAGGCAAGGGGATCACTTGAGCCAAGAGTTTGAGGTTGCCGTGAGCTCTGATGCCACTCTACCCAGGGTGGCAGCTTGACTCTGTCTCAAAAAAGACTTATAAGATGCGTTAAGCATAAATTAGTCACCTGTGAGATATGTTAAAGTAGTGTAGAGCATATGTACATAAACAGAAAAAAGGTTGGAAGGAACAAATATACATACTCTCATATTCATAGCACCCACTCATAGCCCTTCAGAGCATTCAGACATAGTCAACTTTTATTTTGAAGGCAAAAGATACTGATAATGACAGGTTTCTATGGAGCCTGAAAGGTGTTAATGAAGAGAGTGGCAATTTAGGGTTTAGGGTTTATTGGTTCTGTTTATAAATGTGTGTGTATGGTACATGAGGACATTTAAAGCATTGCCCAGACTGGGAACCTACTTCCCAGCTACTTGGGGTAGCTTTCGGACCTTCCCCATTCTGGGTCACAGGAGCAGAGAAAGGAGAAAGCAGATTCATTTCTTACTAAGGTCTGAGTCTTAGCAAAGTAGAGCTGCATGAGGTGAAGGAAATAACTTCTGACAAGGAAGGATGTTTAGTTTTCAAATAGCTGAACACAGTATGAAGCCAGAGTGAGGGTGATAAACTGGGGGTGATGAGCGGGGCTAGAAGCCTGGAAACTTGAGGGCTGGTGAAGAGCAGGCTGAGAGAGATGGTGGCAAAAATAACGGACAGAAAGGCGAATGTTAGAATTGCATATCTCGGATGTGGACCGTGACATGAGTCTATAACATGGTAGGCAAAGCAGTCTGAGGAAGATGCCTGGTATTTATAAGGTCATTGTCAGGGAAGTAGATGTCACTCTGAAGACTGCATCTGTTGCTGAATGGTGTGAGAGAGTATCCCAGAGCTTTCCAAGCTTGGATAGCAGTGCCTGTGCTCATTTACTGTGAATTTCAATTAAGCAGCAGAATGGAGAGATTAGCAGTGAAGCACAGTGCCTACAAATTATGGATAACAGCAACTGGGAAAGAAGGTGCCAGGACATAGCCTGAACTAATGTGATTGTTGTAAATGTAGACAGTTACGGTAAAGGTCAAATTCCATTAGTGGAGTGGATTTCCTCTAATATAAAGGAGTATTTCCTCTAATATATTTCAGTAGTGACACCAAAAGTGGAAAGGAGGTTTAAAAAGCAAGGAGAAAAAGAGAGTGAGAACAAAAACTTGCAATTATTCACTTTTACAAAAAGGTCTAAGAAATAATGAGTCGCAAAGCTTCCTGAACATCAATCAGATTTTCAGCTGTTCAGTGGTACAGGCAGAAGAATGGGAGATTAGGATACCGTCAAGAATTGCTTCTAGGAAAATACTGCCTTATCCAAACTGGGGCTAGCACAGTCGCTGCCTCCTGGTAAGCTGGTTAGCCTATTGGTGGAGCTGGAGGGCAATTTTTATTCTCTTTTCAATTTCAGGTTGGTTTGCTGTAAAGAGAAGAATTTGATTTTCTTTGAAGTCTGCCCGTGTTTTACGTACAGATCCTGCTGTGAGAATTTTAAACGGAGCTCTCCCCCACCCAAGAAGGAGCCTGTATGGGTGCTGCCCTCCTGGCAGGCTGAAAGGCCACCCGGACCACTGGCTTGCGTTTGTCAGGGCTGAACAGGTTAAATTCGCTTCTAAATTAGACGTCTGGATGAGACACCTCTCCATTTCCACTGCTCCTCCACCCCCTCAGGGGGAGGGGAGGAGGAGGGACGGGGAAAGGGACGCTGTAACAAGTAGTTCTCTAACTTCAGCCAGTAGTAGACTCGCCTAGAGAGTGAGTTCGAACCTGCAGGCCGGCCCCGCCCCCTGTCGCGTTAAGGCTGTTGTCAGTCGGGAGTGGACAGGGAATTCCTGCCGCATTTGCGCTAAGGGTCGCCCGCGCCGCAGGAACCACATTTCAGGAATCACCTCTCTAGGTGACTGGAACCAGCCCGCTCCTCCGAAGGTCAGCAGGACGTGCTCAGTATTCCGCAGACTCTATGGAGGGCATGGCCTTCCCTTATCTGTGTCCTCGGCACCCAGCGCTAGGACCTCAGGCTGGCCTGCGGCCCGACCCCAAAAGGAGGCGGAGGGCGGGCCCTTGTGGGTGCAGAGGGGACCTGGCCCGTGCCCCGCGGTCAGGGGCCCTCTGAATGGCACTAGCTGGTGACCCCGGTCCTGGGCAGCGGCTGCACCTGCACTCGCGGGTCGGTGGGGCGCAACGAGGCTCTGGGTGCCTGGGGACTGCTGGAATCCCAAAGGCCACCCTGCCGGGTCCCACCGGTCAGCAGCAAGGAGCGCTTTGCAGCGGAGGTGCCGAGGGCGGGGAGGGTCTGCTGACGGAGTAGGGGGACAGGCCTGTGACCAGGGGCGGATCTTTCTCGGATGGGGATGGCTGTAAGATGGAGATGGATGGAGGGGGTCCGAGGGTCTGTCGGGGATGGGGGCAGAGCGCAGTGCCTGCAGGGGTCCCCATCCAGCCTTCCCGGGAGCCGGGACTCCCTCACACCTTCCACGGCCTGGGCTCCCTCCCAGCCCGCGACCAGCTCCACTGAAATGGGCCCCTAGGATTTTCAATGACGCATCCTCCCGTCTAGGACCTTCCTCGTTGCGCCTTCACCTTCCTTGGAGGTTCTGCTTGGGCCCCTCTGCCTTCTCCCCGCACAGCTCGGCTGGAGCGCCCGCTCTCTCAGCTGCCCGGCTTTGGGGAGCCCAGGCGCTCTCCCTTCTCACGCCCCAAAGCCCGCCTAGAGCGTCGCGCACTCTCTTCTTTCCCAGTCTTTGGGTGGATCCTCGGCCCCCCATTCTATATTTCCTATGATTTTCTGAACTGTGGCCTGTCCCAACTCAGCCTAGGGTAATATCCTTTACGCAGACGGTAAAGCTGAAGATAGCAGAGGCTACATAGATGTTTTACTGATTCTAGCAACCCAAGTATTTGTCCAAAAACATTTGCTGAGCCGCTAGTAGGCGCTGTTCTGGTCTTAGGAGCGTGTCACCCTGTTGACTGGCCGTCCTGCACCTGTTCAGGCCACCCAGGCCTGGGAGCAGTTCTGAAACGTTACCGGGAGAGCGTTTGTCCCAGGCTGAGCGGCATAGAGAACATTGCGAGCCACGTAATGAACTGTGTCCTGGGAATTCATGCGATGGCATCCTACAGTAGCAGAGAAGTGGAACCCCCACCACGGAGGCTGTCCTTCCACGTCGTAATTACCATTCTCTGCCAAGCAGCCAGTCACTAAGAGTTCGTTTTTTAGCGTTCAAATGTCTGGCAAATTGCCCAAAGATTATTCTTTGTTACATAACAAAACTGTTCTTTGAGTCATGATTTTCTCTGAAATGTATCTGATCTCTGAAAACCCAGTTATTTATCAGAAGACTCTTCACCCTTCAGTCAGCAGAGATGGCCTTAGGATTCTGCCTGTCATGATTGCAATTAAGGAACAAATTCTGCTTTTTTTTTTTTTTTTGAGACAAAAGGTCTCCCTGTGTTGCCCTTGTATCACAGCTCACAGCAACCTCATACTCTTGGGCTTGAGCAGTCATCTTACCTCAGCTTCCCAAGTAACTGGGACTACAGGTGCCCACCACAATGGCCAGCTAGGTTTTAGAGAGGGGCTCTCACTCTTACACAGAATGCTCATGAACTCCTGAGCTCAAGCAATCCACCAGCCTTGGCCACCCAAAGTGCTAAGATTACAACAAATTCTGCTTGCTTTCTTCTTTTTTTTTTTTTTTTTTTTTTTTTGCATTTTTTGGCTGGGGCTGGGTTTGAACCTGCCACCTCCGGCATATGGGGCTGGCGCTTACTTCTTTGAGCCACAAGCGCTGCCCAAATTCTGCTTTCTAAATGAGGGTACCTCCATCCTCCCCACCATCCTGCCAAGGCCAAGGCCTCTCTCAGCTCCCAGCTACCTTCCTTCCCCGTGTGAGTCTCTGACCTCTACTTTGTCCTTTGTAGCATGTGGGGCTTCCTGGTGAGACTTGAGTGGATACTGTGCCTGTCCTCAGCTTTGGCAGTGATGGCTAACTTCGGCGATAATCTACCCAGGTGTGTTGGAGAAGGAAGGGATGGGGAGGTTTCTCTCTCCACTGGAGGTATGCCTGGGGCCCCTGGAGAAAAGCCTTTTCTTGTCTGAACATCATCTGTCTCACGACTGACATCTCTAAGACTTCATATACCTCTTTTGTCCTTTCAGAATTAACCAAACTCACCTGACTCCCTCTCAGCTGAAGAACCGCAAAGAGGGTCTGCAAATCAAGGGCTCAGAGTTCACGCTAGAAGGCTTTCCATTCCGGATCCTGTCGGGCACTGTGCACTATTTCCGGGTGCCCAGGAGGTACTGGTGGGACCGCTTGCTGAAGTTAAAGGCCTGTGGCTTCAACACCCTCACCACGTGAGTGCTGGCACCCTAGTGATGACTTTAAGAATTTGTAGTCTGAATTCCTAACTCTGAAACTTTATTAGACCAGCCTAAACATTGAGCCTTTTAGTACTTTCTTTGTTCTTCTGGGTGTACACTTGATATGCTGAGAATGTCTTGGAGGTAGAACCTGCACTAATTCCTCAGAAAGGCCTTTGTCCAATAGGAACCACTACAGCCTGGATCCAAGATTCCAACTTTCAGAGGCAGCAGCAAATACAGATGTCTGTAGCCCAGGTGGTCAGCTACTGAGGGGACTTGGGGCCGCTGGCCTCCCACCTATTTAGATAGCCTCACCTGCCATAAGGATCGTAGTAGCACTGCAGAGTCCTAGGATGTCACATTATTTCAGAAAACGTTGTCTTCAAAGATAGGTTTCATTGAGAAACAATCCCGGTGAGTCATAGAATCTTTCTCATTCCAGAAGCTGAAATGAAAGAAAATCAGTGATTTCTCTCTGTCCTTCCAAGCTTGGAAATTGCTTATCCATTACTGTTTTGACAGTCATTTTTAGTTGTATCTTCTTTTCCAGTGGTCTGATCTTTTAAAATATGGTCTTAGAAGAAAAATCTCTGACCAATTTCATTTGGCAAGTGACGGGGGGATGATGTTTTAAAGCATTTTCTCTCTGGATTGTTGTAATAGCTCTTACAAATCATCTTTCCTAATTTTTTTTCGTTGTTTTGCATAACTGATTCACAAACATGGACATTTCAGGAACTATTAAAATAGAAAACTTGGATGGCTGAGTTTTTGTTTGTTTTAGAATCCGCGCTTAGAAAGTACCACTGTTATTTTAGAAATGAGGAGAGATTCTGTTATCCAAAGAGACAGAATAAAGACACAGAATAAAGACAGTTTATACATTGAAGAAATTTAGCGTTATAAAAACTACCTTATCTTTATTCAAAAGTATATAATTTACAACGAATCATCCAAAGGCTCAGAGGCACACACCTAGAATTTGACAAAATCGGATTTGCTGACTCGCAGGGAGGCAGTGAGTCTCAACTCAGGGACTGGAACCTGACTTTCTCAAGTTTTCCAAAAACTTTGGAGAGTTAGTTCCAGCCAAAGGATTCTGAGCGGAGTCTAGGAAAAGCAGGGGTAAGTATGGGATTGATGGCTGTTTCCGATATAGGGTTAGAAGAAATGGGGATTAACTAGGACTGGGTTCCAGCACCTAGGTAAGGGCAGTTTAGTATTTGAGTCTTCCTGGAAATAGAAGGGTCTAGCAGTGAAGGTCTGGGGTGTCCCTGCTGAGAAAGCACTGGTCACTCATGGAGGGACTATGGTGGTTGATAATTGCTACAGGACCTTGGGAGAAGCCATGTTTCCTGTGAACCTCCCTATCTGTGTCTGCCTCCCAGCCTGAAAATAGTATGGCTGGTTTTTCTTTCTCATTCTGACTCAGTTTTCATTCTTTGAGTCTTGGGCAGATTTTAATTATTATTTTATTTTATTTTTATTTATTTATTTTTTTTGAGACAGAGCCTCAAGCTGTCACCCTGCGTAGAGTGCCATGGCATCACAGCTCACAGCAACCTCCAACTCCTGGGCTCAAGCGAGTCTCCTGGTCCTCAGCCTCCCAAGTAGCTGGGACCACAGGCACCCACCACAATGCCCGGCTATTTTTTGGTTGCAGCCATCATTGTTGTTTTGGTGGGTCTGAGCTGGATTCGAACCCACCACCTTAGGTGTATGTGGCTGGCGCCTTAGCCACTTGAGCCACAGGCGCCGAGCCCAGATTTTAATTATTAAAAAAATTCCACTACGGATACACACAAACTTCCATCTCATGGCCAGGGATCTTGACAGTGCTTGGGAATACAGGCTAGCCTTTACTGTATTACAGGCTACTATTGATCATATTATGTTATATATTCTTATACCATCATAAAACCATTGATTTTTTTTATATCTTTATATTTTATTAGTGTTTGTTTCCCCTTTTGATAAATGTAATATTGGGCTGTAAGTTTGATACTCTTATAATCTGATAGGCTGGTTTCCTTTCTTAGGCTTTTATTGTCTAACTATTAAATACTTTTCTTTGCTATTCCTAGGAAGTATTGCCTTCTTTGGAATGACAGTTTTTATACCAGTGAAAATATTTTTATTGTTCCATTTCCTTTCCCCTATTAGCTTGAGAGAGATATAGATTCTTTGCTGGGTACTCAAGTGCGTAGAATGTGCATCCTTTATTTATCAACAACTAACACTCACTCATACTTTTACCCACTTTTTAATACTGAGTCCTTAGAGCACTTTGTGTATTGGCTACTTCCATTCCGGTGGATAAGATTTGTTGTTAGGTATTTTAATTATAAATAATGAGACATCATTGTTGTTGTTCTGGGATCATTGTCCTTCTACATTAAGAGTACGTTTTTTATTTTTCCCTCTTATATATCTGCTGGTGGCAGAGTTCTTAGCTTTTATTTTTTTCTTAATCTGAAAATGACTTTGCTTTCCTGTTATTTCTGAGCAATGTTTTCACTGGTATAAAGAAATTGATAGGTGTTTTCTTTCGGCCAGTGCCTTCTGGCTTTCATTGTTCTCGTTGCGAAGTCAGCTATTAGATTTTGTTTCTATTTTATGTCCTACTGCATAGTACCAAAATGAATAGGTGTTTCATCTCATTTTAACTGCAATGTCTTTGTTAATTGTGATATTTGCTGTTGTTTTTTTTTTAAACCAATTCTGCCTCAGGTTTATTTGTACAAATAGCACAGGAGGACCCCAGCCCCACGCAGACAGCAGCCCAGAGATCACACCAGTCCTTTTGTCCTCATGGCAGACAGATGCCTCTACTCTGGAGCCTTTGTGGGGGCCTGGGCACCTTTGGGAGCCTGAGCTGGAACTGAAGCTGGAGCTGCAGATGAAGCAGCAGATTGGGCCTTTGTTTGATTTGGCCTTGGCTTTGGCCATCAGAGCCTGAGACCCTTGGCAATGCGTGCACGAGCACGCTTCCCAAGCTTGGGGTGGGCGATGTAGGCAAGTCGACTGAGTTTACGGCTGGCACCCTTTGGAATCTTGGTCTTAACCTTCTTGGGCTTTACAAGGGCCTTGATAGCTTCAGCATGTGCACTCACGGCCTTGGCATTGTTGGCCTGCATCTGCTTCAGGCCCTTCTTGTTGCGCTTCTTGGCAAAGTGCATGTTCCTCAGGAACTTGGGATCTACCCCCTTAAGAGATTCATATCTTTGCAATCGGGGTTTCTTGATACCATTTCTGTGCCACTTTCGGGACTGGTTGTGTGTGGTGTGGTTCTTGGATTTGGCCATGTCGCCACCGTGACCCGCGACTCCTTAGCACCTACGACCGGAAGAGAAAAAGGGGTCGCAGTCTTTGCTGTTGTCTTGAAGTAGATACTATTTCCATGTAAAGAAAAATAATTTTGTTCCTTTTTAAGATTTTGTTTTGATATCAGACAGGGCTATATCATACATTAAAGTTTCACAATATTTTGCCATTCATTAAGATGTCTGTAAGGTTTTGTCCTTTTTTTACTAGAATATTTTATGTATAAATTTAATACTTTTCTCAGTGTTGAGCTGTCTTCACATTAAAATTTGGCTGACTTAGTCATTTTATTTACTATTATGATTTATTTCCTATACATGTTTAGAATTTATCTATATGTTGTTCTCTATTCCCTACTCCCTGCTCCCAGAAAGTAGCTTCATGAGGACAGTGATTTTGTGTGTGTGTGTGTGTTGTATATAGTAATATTCCTAGTGCTTATATAGTATCTGGCAAATAGTAAATGTGCAAAAATTTGTCTGAATGACATCAGAAACATCCATGTGTTTTTCTAAATTTTTCAGTTCTCATGTTAACTTTAAATATTAATTTATCTTGAATTTTTATGGGTTACACAGCATGGGATCTTGGAATATGATTCCTTTACTTAAAAAAATTACTAAAAAATCATTTTTGGTGCTGGAATTTGTATCAGGGATGAATTGAGGAGGATAAGTAATCTCATTCAACATGTTCTCATTTAATCTGATTTACTATTTCTATTCAAATAGGTAATTTCTACTTTTTGAAAGCAATTTTCCATTTATTAAAGATTTCCAAATTTCTTTGTACATAATTTTACATGATATTCTATGAATTATTTTAACAGCGTTCATCATATTTGTTGTAGCCCTTTTAAATTTGTAATTTCTCATGCATTATATTCCTCTTTTCATTTCTCAAAATATATTTTAAGAACCCTTAATTTCTTCCTTCCTTCCTTGTTTTTTTTTTTTTTTTTTTTTAGGAGACATTCTTACCTGGCAAAGGATCCTGAAATTTTTCCCAAAATTCTTATGTAAAGTTCTATATCTGAATTCTTAAATTTAATTCCTAATTTGTTCTCTCTTTCCTAGAAAAAGGTGAAGCTATGACTGCAGAACTTAACCATGGCATACTTTTTTTTAATCTCACCTTTCTTATCCTTAGTATTCTGCTATATCATGTGTTTTGCTTGTTTATCAGCTACGTGACTTAATACATTTTTTATCACTTTTGCTTTTGAATATCCAATTACCTATTCAGAAATTTAAAAGTGAGAACAAAGTCCTTTTTATTTGCCCACATATTCAGCAGCGTTAGTGCTCTTCATTCCTTTGCATAGATTAAAATTTCCATCTGTTATCATTTCTTCTACCTGAAGAACTTCCTGTAACATTCCTTCTTTATTTTTGAAACAGGGTCTCACTTTGTCCCCATGGATAGAGTGCTGTGGCGTCACAGCTCACAGCAAACTGAAACTCTTGGGCTCAAGCCATCCTCTTGCCTCAGCCTCCGGAGTAGTTGGGACTTCAGGCCCCTACCACTACGGCCTGGCTGGTTTTTCTATTCACCGCACCTGGCCGCTTTAATATTTCTTATAGTGAAAATCTTTTGGTCATGAGTTCTCACAGCTTTGGGGGTTGTCTGAAAAATTTTTGTTTTCTCTTCAGTTTGAAGGCTTGTTTTCAATGGTATGGAATTTTAGGTCAACAGTTTTTTGTTTGTGTTTTTAATTTTCGTGCTTCAAAGCTGTTTCTTCCTGGTCTTCTGATTGGCATTACTACCTGTGGCCAACCTGCTGCACTTCCTACCTGTTTTTCTACTGTATGTGATCTATCGATTGCCCCCCTTACTATTTTTGAGACCTTTTCTGTTTCACTGGTTTTCAGCTATTTGATTGTGATACGTGAGGGTACAATTATTTAGAAAAAAATTCTACTTGTGGTTTGTTGCGATTCTTGAATCTGTAGGTTTGTATTATAGTTTTTGTCAAATTTGGAAAATTTTGCCCCTATTTCTTCAAAGATAGTTTGCCCCCCTCTCTTTTTCTGGGACTCCAATTACGTGAATGTTAGACTTCTTAATAAGACACCACTGGTGCTCTGTTCAAAACTTTTCTTCCATCTTATCTTTGCTCTTTTGCTAACAAAAGATAGCTTCTTTTGTTATATCTTAACATTCAGTTGACCTTTTGTTCTGCTGAGTCTACTCTGCTATTAGTTCTGATATATTTTTCATTTTCTGCTGTTCACAGCATCCAGAGTACTTTTCACTTCAGATATTTTATGGTTTTAAAATCTAGAAATTCCATTTGGTTCTTTTTTTCTGTCTTTCATTTTTCCTTCTCAGCATGGTCCTGTTTTCCTTTATGCATTGAAGACACGCTGTCTATTTGCATACCTTTTAATATTTCTGTTTGCTAGTTTCACAACGTGTGTCATTTCTGGATTTATTTCTACTAATTGATCCTCCCTCCCCCCATTACAGGTCATAGGACCTGTTTGCTTCCCTAGTAGTTTTTAAATTGATCCTGGGTGTTATGCTATTAGTTGTTGGGCTTCATTGTATTCATTTAAATGCCATTGTATCATCTAGTCCTATAAACTTTTCGGATCTTTCTGTTTTATGGTTAATAGTTTTTTTTCTATTTTACATATATAGATTTACAATTTTATATGCTTTTTACAAACATTTAAAAGAAGAAATCTGTGGGTGCCTCCCAAAGCATAGTACACATGTATCTACCTTATGTGAAGTCCAGAATTATAGAAAAACATTGGTTCCCTATTCTTTGCTGGGCATTAGATGGAGGAAATTTTGTATATAATACATAGTGTACACCTAGAGGTTTGGCTATTGAGATCTTCAACCTCCTTCGTGGAAGAGATAACCTAGGTACTATATTAAAATGGGGGAATCCAACATGGGATCAGGTCAAGTCCAAGGTAAGGTTCTGGTATTTCTCTATCTTTCCCATTGCAGGTCCATTCCCTGGAACCTCCATGAGCCAACAGACAACGATTTTTACTTCACTGGAACCCGGAATTTCGAGTATGTGTTCATACCTAAATTTTATCCAGAGACAGAGATTTACTGTGGGGATCAGATGAAGTAGCAGGGGCACCTTACTTTCTGCTTTTGGAGCCATCAGGGAGATGGGGTGATTTTTTTCCTGTATTGAAGGCTTCTTAAGCAGTGAGTCTGTTATTTCTGGTGGAGCACAGACCTTTGTGTTCTGGGGGTTTATTGCTTGCAAGTATGGTTTAGAAGTTCTCCAGCTTTGGTCTATCAAGAAGAATCTGCTCTCTCAGTTCTAAAAGGAGATTTGGGGGCTATAACTTACAGGGTTTCTAAGACATGACAGAAATAGAATAATAACTGTTTATTCAAAAATATGTATTTAGACATTGGTGTTGAAGATGGACAGATAAGACACTTTGTGCTTTTAAGAATAAGGATTCTCTGAAGAGAGAGGGCTAATACAACATGCTAGGGATATACAGCCCAAACTTGGCGAGCAGATCAGGGAAGATGGCAGGGAGCTTACAGCTGAAGTAAATTTCGAGACTAAGCAGGAATTAACCAGAAGAGGCCGAGTGATATGTCAGGCAAAGTGTCTAGCTGGGGCCAAGTCAGCGATGTGAGAAAACATTATAAACTAATTAAGGTGACATTAGCTGTGACTACCAGGTAAGCCTCAAGATGTTTTAACAGTAAGGTTTATTTTCACTCAAGTTGAATCTAAAATAGGTATTTCTGGTGAGCCTATGTCTCTCTTCCAAAAAATAATTGGAGGGAGTCAGAGTTTTTCTGTCCTGCACTTTCACCATGTTGTAAACCACCATGGTTGTCAGCATCCAGCCAACGGCGGAAGGAGGAGCCTCGAGAATGTCTTTGGGAGTCGGAACTCGTGGCTTCTGTCACGTTTTATTGGCTTGAGATCAGCTGCATGGACCCTTTTAAACACATGGGAAACTTGGCAATTAACTTGCTGCTGCACATTGTATAATATTTTCTGGGGAGTGCAAGAAATGCAGTCTGGCTGTCTTACTACTTGGTAGTAAAAGAACTGTCAAAAAGTAGCCAACGTCCAGATCCTGGCCTTATCGATCATGCTACAAAATTTGGAATCTGTTCTGAGAGTGTTGGGAAATCATTTGAGAAATTTTAGTTTTTTATTTTGTGAGACAGAATCTCACTCTGGCACCCTGAATGGAGTGCTGGGACATCATAGCTCATAGCAACCTGAAGCTCTTGGCCTCAAGCGATTGTCTTGTCTCCGTTTTTTTTTTTTTTTTTTTTAAAATTATTTTTATTTTGGGAGTCTCGCTCTGGCTTAGGCTGGTCTTGAACTCCTGAGCTCAAGAAATCCACCTGCCTCTGCCTCCCAGAGTGAAGAATTTTAATTTGGAAAGTTCATATTTACATTTAAGAAGATCATTGTGACAATAATTTTAAGAGGCAACATAGCATAGTAGTTAAGATTTCATTCTTAGAGGCTCTCTGCCTGAGCTCTAATTTTAGTTCTTACATTTATTAAAAATGTGACCTTTATGAAACCCAAAGTTTTTATTTTCTTATTTGTAAAGCGGAGAAAATATTCAATACTTTTCTCATAGAATTGTCAAATAAAACAACAAAGTTAAAGAATTCAGCGTGAGTGCCTACTGCTGATACGAAATCCATGCTAGTTCCTATTGATGATGATCATATTGTTTATTGATAGTCATTGGAAAAAATCTTGAAAGAAGGTTAAGAATGAAGGAAGGAAACCAGTCAAACAACCATTCTAATAACTAACATGTTGAATGTTAGATACTTAAGCCAATGTGATAGCGATAGGAATGCAGAGGAATTTGAAATTTGAAAATATTAAGTTGGAGGAACAGACGTGATTGACAGCAGGAGGTGAGGAAGACAGAAGTGAAGGTGATTTGTAGGTTTCTGCCTCAGGTGGCTTCCTGGATGGTGGTGTTGCTCCCGGACATTAGGAATGAAGGGAGGGATAGCTTTGGATGGGAAGGTTGGAGTTGGGTTTAGGATTTCTGGACTCTCACTTTAATGCCTTTCTGTTTAGTGCCTTGACTGAACCTATTTCTTACTGAGTATTGTGCCCCCATCTCTCTGGGTCTCCGACATGGACTGTGTGGGCCAGGCTGGGAGTTCCAACTGTTCCAACCTCAGAAGAAAGCAAGGAGAGAAACGTAGCAGTGATTCCAGGCCTCACCTTTGCTGTGAAGTTATTGTTGTTGCTTTGCTTCCCAGGGATTTCATACACATGGCTTCACAAGTGGGGCTCTGGGTGATTCTGTGTCCAGGCCCCTACATCGGTAGTGACCTAGACCTTGGAGGCTTGCCCAGGTAAGTTGTACTTGGAGGGTCCCTGGCTGTTGATTGCATGTGGATCACAAGCACATTCAAATGCAAGTTAGGCATAGTGTTTAGCTTTGGTTCTATATGTATTTTTTTTACCTTCACTATTTCGTCCATATAATTACATAGAAAATGATCTTTAAAATATTAGGGATTGCATGGTATTTGCAGGTTTTGTTGTTGTTCTTGTTTTTTAAATTAAGAAAAGAATTTTTTTTTGAGATAGAGTCTCACTCTGTCACCCTGGGTAGAGTGAGCCATGATGTCATAGCTCACAGCAACTTCAAACTCTTCAACTCAAGTGATCTTCTTATCTTAGCCTCCTGAGCAAATGGGACTATAGGCTCCCACCACAACACCTGGCTGGTTTTTCTATTTTAATAGATTCATGGCCGTCGTCCTGCTCAGACTGGTCTTCAACTCCTAAGCTGAAGCAATCTATCCACCTCCGTCTCTCAGAGTGCTAGGTACAGGCGTGAGCCACCATGCCTGGCTTGTTGCCCACTTTCTGATGGAGCTATTTGTTTTTTTCTCACTGATTTGTTTGAGTTCTTTGTAGATTCTGGATAGTAGCCCTTTGTTGGATGTATAGTTTGCAAATGTTTTCTCCCATATTGTAGGTGATTTGCTCTGTTGATTACTTCCCTGATGTATAGAAACCTTTTGGGAATTAAGTCCCATTTACTTATTTTTGTTGTTGCTATATTTGCTTAGGAGGGTCTTAAAAACATGAAAAAATGTTCAATGTCACTAATTATCAGGGAAATGCAAATGAAAACCATAGTGAGATACCACTGTTACCCCTGTCAGAATGGCCACTACTAAAAAGTCAAAAACCAATAGATTTTGGCACAGATGTGGTGAAAAGGGAATACTTACACACTGCTGGTTGGAGTGTAAACTAGTACAACCACTGTGGAAAGCACTATGGTGATTCCTCAAAAACTAAGAGTAGACTTACCATTTGTTTGGAGTTTTTTTGAGGCAGACTCTTAGTCTGTTGCTCTGGATAGAGTGCTGTGGAGTCCTCATAGCTCAAGCACAAACTCTTGGGCTCAAGATATCCTCCTGCCTCAGCCTCCTGAGCAGCTAGGACTATAGGCTCTTACCACAGCACCTGACTAGTTTTTCTATTTTTAGTAGAGACGGGGTCTCACTCTTGTTTAGGTTGGTCTTGAACTCCTGACCTCAGGAGATCCACCTGCCTTGGCCTACTAGAGTGCGAGGATTACAGGTGTGAGCTGCTGCACCCAGCCCCTAGACTTACCATTTGCTTCAGCAATACCACTACTGGGTATCTACCCAAAGGAAATGAAATTATTATAAAGAATACACTTGCACCTGAATGTTCATCACAGCACAATTCACAATTGCAAAGATATGGAACCAATGAAAGTGTCCCATCAATTCATGAGGGGATTAACAAACTGTGGTGTGTGTATGTGAGAGTGTGTGTGTATACACCCATACACAGCCATAAAAAAATGAAATGCTTTTTGCAGCAATTTGAATGGAAATGGAAGCCATGATTCCGAAATATCCAAGGAATGGAAAATAAATGCCCCTTGTTCTCACTTTTACGTGTGAACAAAATAAGGGCTATAGTGTATAATAAAATGATCTAAGGGACGTTGAAAACTAAGAAGGGGGGGAGAGGAAGTGGAGTAATGGATAAAAATCTACCTATCTGGTGAAACATACACTATTCTGATACACTGAAAACCCTGCCTTCAGCATGATAAAATTTATCCATGTAACAAAAAACACTTGTACTCCCTAAATTTTTTTGAAAAAAAAATCTCATTCTAGAAGAAGGATTGGCAAACTTTTTCTATAAGAAGGCAAGATAGTAAATATTTTAGGCTTTTAAACAACATAATAATATAGTCTCTCTTGCAACGACTCAATCTTGCTGGTAGACAAGCCATGACAACATGGAAACAAAAGGGTATGGCTCTGTGACAATAAAACTTTATTTGCAGAAACAGACTGCAGATCTGATTTGGCCTGGGGGTCATGTTTTTATACAACGTCTATTTATGTTTTGAGGAAAGTGTTGACAGCTCATGATTGCTTTTTCTTAAAGTTGTGTTAACCCCTCATCATACACTGTTCTGGTGTGGCAGTGCAAATTTGGGTTGTCCGCAATTCCCAGCTTCCTATGCTTGAACATTCTTATTGCTGTCTCTCTTCCCAAGTCTGAGTCTCACCTTTCCAATTGTAGCTGGTTACTCAAGGACCAGAGAATGAAGCTGAGAACAACTTACAAGGGCTTCACTAGAGCAGTGAATCGCTATTTTGACCAGCTGATTCCCAAGGTGGTGCCACTCCAGGTAAAACCCAAGCCCCTATCTGTATGGCCAAGGGAAGTAATTGCCTGGATTGTTTTCCTAGGTAGCCTAACTTACTTTCTGGACACTCTGAAGGAAGAGGCATGTGCAACAGTTAATTCCAATTCCATATGTGAAATGGAAGGTTTTAATTGTTCTTCTCTTATGACTTTTCTCCACCTACTGCCCAACTGAACAAACTCACATATTAGATCTACCTTGGCACCACATTCTGTGTATTTTTGTTTCACCTTGACCATTGTTTACTTGCTCTCTACACTGCCGTGAACAGGAAATTAATGATTGTCTTCAAAATGCATGCATTTTTTTCTCCTAAAGATAGCCTCATCAGTCCTTCAGAAATAGTAGCTTATACAGATAAACTTAGGTCAGTGGTTTTGTAAGAGTTATAATTTACTTAGCTCTTGATATACCTCTGTGCAATAAAATCACTGTGTCATCCATACTCATTGTTTAAGTGGAAATAACATGCTAATTCATGTTGGGGGTGTGTAGGGGAATGGGGGGGCATGAGGAGTCATGGTTTATGACACATCTCTTGGGGGTGGGACACAATTATAAAAGGAAGTTTACCTAGCGAATGCAGTCAGTGTAACCTGGTTCTTTGTACCCTCAATGAATCCCAAACAATAAAAAAAGTCAAAAAACCCCCAAAAAACAAAAAACAAAATAACTCCTAAGTGACTGAAGAATATAAATCAGCGTGCCATGTGATGTAGTAGGGATTTGCATTTGCTGAGACTAGAGTTACCCTGTCCAGTATGATAACCATGGCCACATGTGACTATTTAAATTTAAATTCATTAAAATTAAATGAAATTAAAAATTTAGTTTCTCATTCACACTAGCCACATCTCAAGTATTCAGTAGCCACACGTGGCTGGTTGCCACCATATTGGGCAGTGCAAATATAGAACATTTTCATCTTTGTAGAAAATTCTACTAAACAATGCTAGACTAGAATGTTCTCCCCATATCTAATTTAGGACTCCTTAGTCTTGAGACTCTTGACTGGAAAACTATATTAGTAATCAGAAGGTTGCTTTGTGAGCGTGAAATCAGGTCATAAGGAGGTTAGGAGGTCTCGAGAACATTCTACCAGCCTCTTGAATCAGCACTTCCTTACTAATGAATGTCTTTCTTTTAGAAGATTTAGTTGTACTTATGAGATTCAGATGATACAGATAATTCCAGGTACTGTCAACTTTTGGATCTTTCCTCTTTTCTGTTTTCTAGTCTGCTGGATTTCTCATTGGTTGGATAAAAAGGGGGCGGGAGAAGCAGGTTTTGAAAAAGTTGTTCAGTGTTCGTCAGCAGGGGATATATGCAAATTAAAGGTTTGAGAAACACTATTTTAGGCTTTGTGTCTTCTTTTTCTCCCTGATCAGGGATTACAAGATAGCCAGTTATTTCTTGATTGATAAATACCCGCCCAGTTCAACCTTCTCCATCTAAGGTTTCTCCTAGGTCCTAGTGATCAGTTTTTGGTGTGCAAACACTTCAGTCACCCTTACATATAGTCCCAGGTGTTGTCCAGATTGGTACTTGCATTCCTGGGATGAGTTTAATCCTTAAGGGTCAACAGTATTTTTCTCATGTGGGAAGAGGTACCTCATGGTTGTCTCATGTGTTCCAAGAGTAGATTGAGGAAGTACAAAGGGGGCGCAATGAAATTTGGCTAGGGTGTGGCAGGTGCAAGGTGTGGAGAGAAAATATGTTAGCTGACTCAGATTTTGAGTTGAGAGAGCTATGAAGATATGGGATAACTGGGCATGTTAATATTAGCAGAAAGGGATGGTAAGGAAGAAAAATTTAAAGGTACTTGTCAAAGGATGACATCGTGAGACAGAAGGGACTGCAACCAGCGCAGGATTAGAATTAGCAAAGAACCATAAAAAGCACCAGCGTTAAGAGGTGAGTAGGACAAAAGGAGCCCACAAAGGAGATGGAGGAAGAGTGACCAAAGCTAAGAGAGAATGGGTTATAGAAGTGAGGGTTTCATGAAGGAAAAAAATGGCCAAGAGTATCAAATGTTACTAAAAGAACAATTAAATTGAGACTAAAATTTTGTGACTGAATTTAACAAAAAGAAGATCAATATTAATAATTTTGGTGATTATGGAAAGAGCGAAAGTGAGGTCTCAGTGAGTAGAGGATGGGTCAAGAGTGAGGAAGAAAATAATTCACAAAGGTTGGCCAAGAAGATGAGGAGAGCAAGTGGGTGCCAAACTAGAGGGGGAAGGGGTCCAGGAAAGGCATCTAAAACCTAAGGCCTTAGGTCAGTTTTAAAGGATGAGAGAGAAAGGTTCAGTGAAGAAAGAGGTGAAGATACAGAAGGGATGCACCAAAGAGTAACATCCCTGAGAGGGAAGGAGATGAGCTGTACCAACACAGGAGAGGAGACAACCCCTAGGACGACAGACACCTTAGTCATTGATGGTGTTACTGGTGCTTAGGCAGAAAGATGGTTGTGAAGGTTTCGGGCCCCATGATTAATGGATTGAATTGGGGAAAAAATAAGGGGAGTTAATTCTTTAGGTGATCTTTGGAAAGGTAGGATTCTGAGTATATGATTTCTTTCCAGAGGTGACTACTGACTATAGAGTAAGAGAAATTGCCAGAACCGTATTGCAACTTGAGGTTGACTTTAGGAGTGTGTTATTTTGATGGCAATGCAGACTTGGAAAATCCGGTCTTTTGCCACCCTTAGACTCATTCTCATACTCTCATTTCCTTGACCCTCAGTATACCAAGGGCGGCCCCATCATTGCTGTGCAGGTCGAGAATGAATATGGTTCTTATAATCTGGATAGAAGATACATGCCGTATGTTAAAGAGGTAAGTGCTCCTTAATCTTTCTCCATATTTACATGCTACTCGTCTCACTGTTAGTTGGTGGAGCAAACATATCCTGAATACCTGTAGATTGCATGGAACTATGGGACTGAAGATGAATAAGGTCCAGTTTGATTTCTCCATGGAAACCACCTGTATTAGTGGAATTAATAGTCACAGAGATTTACCCATATCATTGACTTTAGAATTGCTTTTTCCTCTCTGCATCTCTGAGCTTTGATTTCTCTGGTTTTTCTCTGCCTTTAGTATTTTTTGTTGTTGCTGTTTTTCTACATATATTGGCAAGAAATTCTTTCACTTCTTGTTTGTCTGAAAATCTAGTTTACCATCAGTTTTGAAGTATATGTTTGCTCTATGGTGAATTCTAGGTTGGCACTTATTTGGGGATTCCTCTGGCATCCATTGTTTCTATTATGAAGTCAGTTATCAATAAAATTATTGCTCCTTTGAAACTAAAGTGTCTCTTCTGGCTGCTTTTACAACTTTTTTCTTTGGTTTCCAGTGATTTTATTAAGACTTGTCTAGGTGTGGTTTTCTTTCTACTTATCCTGCTTACATTTTTTGCACTCTATAATTTGTGGCTTGAAGTCTTTCATCTGTTTTGGAAGATTCTTGGCAATCATTCCCTCTGTTTTCCCTCCCTTCTCCTCTGGCATTTCAATTATACAGATGTTTTCATCATATTCCACTTATATAATGGAATGGATGATTTCTTCTAAATTTTCTTCCAATTCATTAATTTTCTCTTTAGGTTTATTTAATTTGATGTTAAACTTACACTATTAAGTTTTTAATTTCAAATATTTTAATTTTAAGATCTAGAGTTTAGTCTTTTTTAAATTTTATTTCTTATAGCATAACTGTGTACATTAATTCAATCATGGGGTACAGTGTGTTGTTTTCATATACGTTTTGAAATACTCTCATCACACTGGTCATCATAACCTTCATGTCATTTTCCTAGTTATTGAGTTAAAACATTCATACTCTGCTTTTAGAAAGATTCACTTGTACCCTTGTAAAATAAACCATAGAGGTGACCCCACCAATCTCCTTCCCTCCTCCCATCCACCCCCCCCACCCCCTTCCATATTCTAAGGCTATAATTAGGTTATGACATTCCTATAAAAGCTATGAATTAGTTTCAAAGTAGGGCTGTGTACATTGAATACTTTTTCTTCCATTCTTGAGATACTTTGTTAAGAAGAACATTTTCCAATTCCATCCATATAAACACAAAGGAGGTAAAGTCTCCATCCTTCTTTAGGGCTGCATAGTATTCCATTGTGTACATGTACCACAATTTATTGATCCATTCGTGGGTTGATGGACATTTGGGCTTCTTCCATGACCTAGCAATTAGAGTTTAGTCTTTTTTTATAGTTTTTATTTCTTTGCAAAATTTTCTATTTTTTCAATTCCTTGAACACTTTAATTATTTCAACATTTATGTCTAATAAACCTATTGAGTTCTTACTGATTTTTGTTGTTGTTGTGTTTTTTCTCATGGTTCCAAGAAAGTATTATCTTCTGGTAGCCTAATAATTTTTAAATTTAATGTCAAACATTTATTAATGGAAACATTGAGATTGTCTCGGGTTCTTGATCATCTTCCAGATGGATTCATTTTTTGCCTTGAAATACAAGCAAATTTATCATCCTCTGGATGACAGACTCTAGAGTCAAAGGGGCCGTGTGGTGAACCTGTATCAGCCCCCTCCCTATCCCCTCTTCTGAGGTAGATTCATTTTTGCTCTGGCAGATATTTGCAATGATTTGAAGCTGAGCTTCAATCTTTATGTGAGCTAATCTAGTTCTTGTTCATCCTTAATCCCAGGCTATCGCCCTATAGGATCTAGCTGGATACCATGGTCCCTAAACTGTGGCAATCCCCAAACTGCACTTTCTTTCCCCAAATCTTACAAAACTGCTGGCATCTCTGCTCAACTTCTCAAACTCTTCTCAGCTGATGTTTTGGGAATCAGCTGCTCCCTTCAGGGAAAAGCAGTGGCAAGTGCTATCCTCCCTTTCTCCCTGGGATCTTGGCTTCCCAAGTTCTACCTTATGTATCTGATATCTCTAAGTAAGTTTCTAAAAAATATTTTATCCAGGCTGTCTAATTGTGATTAGAAAGAAGTTTAGTTGGTATCTTTGTAATTTTCTGCTGCTACAACACAATACCACAGACTGGATAATTTATAAAGAAAAGAAGTTTATTTGGCTTGTAGTTCTGGAGGCTGGGAAGTCCAAGAACATGGTACTGGCCTCTGGTGAGGGGAATCAGGTGGTGGAAGCCATCATCTGGCAAGCAAACACGTGAGACAGGAAAAGGGGATGACCCCCATCATAATGAACCATAAGTTCTGCCCCTTGTGAAAGGCATTAGTCCATTCATAATAGCTGAGTTCTTGTGACCCAATTGTTTCCCCAAAGCCCCACCATTTAACTCCACCAAAACAGCAACCATGTTACCAGCACTTGACCTTCTGGGGGACACATGCAAATCATAGGAGTTGGAAACAAAAAAGCTCATCATCCCTAAAAGTAGAATGTGTTACTGTCCCTATGACTTGTGAACCATGCATGCATCCTTGTTTGTCCAGGACACCACCAGGATGCTGGAATAATTGTTACCACCCTCTCCTTTCTCAAGTGTCTAGTAGGATAAGCTATATGGTCACCTGCCGTTGAGTCATGTTGCTCACTGAGGCTAGAGACTTGACTCATGGCATTCCAACAGGACACATGGTAAGTGGGGTGGGGCAATGCTGATTGGTGTGTGACATGCTGGCTCTTGTCAGTCACTTCTCGGCCTACCTTCTTTTACAAAAGAGTTCAGTGGAAACAAATTATTTCCTCATCTTAACATAGGACTCTGGGGTTAATTGTAGGAACCTTTTCATTTTCAGGATATTCTGATCCAAAAGACCAAGGAAGGTATACCTCTGGCTTTTTTCAGCATCTGTGGGCAGTCCCAGTATTTTACACTGAAGTAGATAAGTCCCTTAGCCTCATCTCTCTATCTTGGGTTTAGAATCTATCTAGAATTTTTTTTCTAGTTAAAGTAGGAACATTACACTAAAGGTTCATGCGGTCAAAAGTGCGACCATGGGTGGACTTAGCCACACCTTGCCTGCCTTTGCTGCTGCCTAAAGGAAAACCCACACTTGTGCACATGTCCACAAATGTCTCTTGGTACACAAGATGTGCCTAATTTGGGTGAAGATGTGGAGAAGAATGTTCATTCTAGCTCCTTGAAACACTGGAGAAAATTTCAGAATTCAGGTCCTTAGGGGAAAGCGCTTTCTCAAGTGCTTAAACAATCCCACTGCCTCTTGTATTAGATATGAAATTTCAGTTGTCCCTTGCTGAGTGTGGCTGAAGCAGGGATGATATTTTTGTCTTAATTTCCTAACTTACAAGTAGTGAGATGGGGAATTAGACCTTCCTCTTTAGCTTCAATCTGGTTCTTTTTATTGCCATAATATTTTCCAAAGAGGAGCCATCCCACGAAGTCAGAGACAGTTCATTTACCTCACTGAATTTCTCCGTAGGCCCTGGTGACACGGGGGATCGAGGTGCTGCTCATGACTGCAGACAGTGGACCGGAACTGAGAAAAGGCCACATAAAAAATGGTACAGTTTTGGTTTTGCCCTAGTTCCTCCCAGTTCCTCTACTAGTCAAGTCAGAAACAGGACTCACTTTGCCACGCTGGCCTTCCCATCCCCCATGGGTGAGGTCCCATTTTCTGGGTGAAAGCAGAGCTGAGTTAAGGAGCTAGTTAGGTCTTGCTGCCCCACTGGCTGTTACCCAGGGTATGCACCTTCCAGAACACTTATTCTCAGCCTCTGGGAGGCCCAGAGTGGGGACTGGCTGAGAATCAAATAAAGACAAGTCTGTTGTTGCCAAATGGACACAAGTGAGCCATGGGAAGTGGATGTATGTCAGAGAAATTGTACTGTTGTGGATGCAGCCCCTAGGGCTCATGGTGTAAATCAGTCCAGGAAATAAAAGCAGTGGAGAAATACAGAATAGGATTACAAGGAGGAAATATAGGTTGATACATGGAGACCTGAGAAAAGATAACACATGGACAAATGGAACCAGAGAACATTGCATTTTGGAATTCTTTTCTTTTTTTTTTTTTTTTTTGAGATAGAGTTTCACTTGGTCCTTGGTAGAGTGCTGTGGCATCATAGCTCACAGCAACCTCAAACTCTTGGGTTCAAGTGATTCTTGGCTCAGCCTCCCAAGTAGCTGGGACCACAGGCCCCCGCCACAATGCCTGGCTATTTTTTGGTTGCAGCCATCATTGTTGTTTGGCGGGCCTGGGCTGGATTCGAACCCACCACCTTAGGTGTATGTGGCTGGCGCCTTAGCCGCTTGAGCCACAGGCACCGAGCCGGCTATTTTTTTTTTTTTTAGAGGTGAGGTCTTGCTCTAGCTCAGGCTGGTCTCAAACCGGTGAGCTCAGGCAATCCACCCACCTCGGCCTCCCAGAGTGCTAGGATTACCAGCATGAGTTACCGTGCCTGGCCTGCCTTTTGGAATTCTTGAATATGAGTAGTTTCATCAGGTGCCTCTGCCATACTCTCCCCCAGGATTTTTCGTGACCCTTCTTTGTCTGTAGTGGGAGGATCAGATTAGCACTCTGAATTAGTAGTCAGGAGACCCATAGCCAAGTTTTAGGTCTTAGGTTATCTGCCTCTCTGGGCTCAATTTCTTCTTGTGACCAGCATTTATTCTTCAATGTGATGTGGTTTAACTGCCAGTCTTCTTCCTCGGGGTCATTCATTGTAAATGCTAAGTGAAGGGATGTGTTTGAAAGCCCTTTGTATGTCATATGTTTGGATCCAAGTGTTGAATCATATCTTCAGGACTAGCCATAAGCCATGTCAATGGGAAATGCCCGTGGGAGGCATGTACGGGAGGCGATGAGCCCACTGTCACTCCTGACCCTGGCATGGGGGTGGGGTGCCCTCTGCCCTGCCCTGTAATGGTCATAGCAGGGCCTGTGCCAAGTTTTTCCCTTCCCTCCCCAGTGCTTGTCACTGTCCACCAGAAGGGAGTTAATCAAGAAACTTACCAAGAACTTGCTTCAATCCAGGTAAGGACACTTCAGGGCTGGGAGAGGTCTTGATTCTTGCCCTTGCTAGGACCTTGTCAGTCATTTCTTGGGGAAATTCTCAGCAGGGATCAGTTCAGTTAAAACCTGGATCTACTGTGCCCTTGAAATGCCTCTTATAAATGGCTTCAGGTTTGGCCAAATCAAATTCATCTGCCCACAGTATCACGCCCTTAGCCTTCAGCATTAGATAGTCTCTTGTGATTTGTTTCCAGTACATGTTATAGACTTGACTAAGAAAGGGAACCACATGAGAGAAGCATTTTTAGTGCTTCCTCTGTGTCAGGCTCTTCCTTATTAGATCTCTACTCTGGTCATTCGAGGAGATGAAAGATTCTAGAAAGTTCTAGAAAGGGCAATGTTGAAATGGCAGTTGACTTTACCAAAGCTTAGGCAAGAAGAGCAGTGAAATAGGAGGAATAATGAGACCAGGAAAACAGTCTGAGAGCCAGAGAGTAAAGCTCAGAGTCTGTGAGCGGGGAGGGTATGCTCTGAGTTACCAAGGGGGTGTGAGAACCAGACTTTACAGTTCCCTTCCAAGCAATTCAGGCTTCTGATTTGTAACAACCTTTTCTCAATTGACACTTGATTTTTCACAGGGTGCTAGCCCCATAATGATGATGGTATATACAGCAGCATCTTTTGACACATGGGGTCAACTCCGCAAGTATCGGGACCCACAGAGTGAGCACTGCTTTGTTCCATTCTCTGGAGAACACAGGCCACAGATGGCCCTGACTTATTTGTTCTGCTGATTAGTGTAATTGAGATTTAGGATACAAGGCTCCTGCATGGTATAGCTCAGCAAATGTCAATGCGATTAAGTAGACACCTCACAGCCATCTGTGCGGGTAAAATGACAGCGTAAAATGAGCATCCCGAGATCACTGTAGTTGAAACGTAAATTTTAGCAGAGTTTCCCTCGTAGTTATTAATGTTTTGTGGAAGCTATTAAATAAATCAGATTGAATTATTCTGGCAGGAAGGGAAATTCAATGAAAGTTTGTTGGGTGAGAGTAGAATGTTCTCTGGTCTCTTATGATCTATCTCAATTCTACAGTCCCCTGGTGAACTGTAGTGATCTTAAAAATGAAGGTGAGTGTTCCTGTTGCTGTAATCTGAGATCAGTCACTGTTAGAAGTGGTCAGTGCAGAAGAAACACTAATCTGCATGTGTATTTACCTGAGACAGTGGTTCACAACCTTCCTAATGCCATGGCCCTTTAATACAGTTCCTGTGGGTTGCGACCCACAGGTTGAGAACCACTGTCCTGAGGGAAAGGGGCACAAGTTTGATACATGCAGTTTGTATGCTGCAGAAAGTATCTCCCAAAATGGGAAACCCAGGGAAGAAAGTACGGAACGACTTTGGGTTATGAAAGTAATACTGAGAATAATTTCACCTACCCTTCTTAGTCAATTCTGGCTAATCCCACACATTCTGGGGGCACGAGATATTGGTAGACTGAATATTTTAGGTCTAGGTGATTTGAGAATCCACAGAGTGCTGTTAAGTTCTCGCACACTCTTCCGTGAGCCCTTTTCCTCCTCCCTCTACGCAGTGCTAAAGAGGGACGTGACAGAGATGTTCAAGCTCAAGTTCTCCCTCAACTTCTACATGTTCCACGGTGGCACCAACTTTGGCTTCATGGGTGGAGCCACAATTCTGCACACTTATCTCCCAGTGGTCACCAGCTATGGCAAGTACTTGTCTCCCAGAATTGTCTCTAACTGAGGTCACCCCACCATTTGAGACTGGAGCTTTCTAGTGTTGGCCTCTGAGGATAATCTCTGAAATGGTTCATGTGTTTTTCCTTTACCATATCCCAGGGGTTGAGGATTTGGTTTTTTTTTTTTTTTTTGAGGCAGAATCTCACTATGTCACCCTTGGTAGAGTGCCGTGGCATCACAGCTCACAGCAACCTCAAACTCTTGGGCTTAAGCAATTCTCTTGCCTCAGCCTCATGCAGTTGTCATTTTTGTTTCGCTGGCCTGGGCCGGGTTCAAACCTGCACCCTTGGTGTATGTGGCTGGTGCCGTAACCACTGTGCTGCTGGTGCCGTAACCACTGTGCTGCAGGTGCTGAGCCTGGTTAGCTTAATCTTGTCTATCTCCAGCACAGACCCTTGTTCTTAGAAGTTTCCTGTAGAAACAGTGACTTTGGGTCTTCTGATAGCTCCAAGGTATTGATTGATGTGTCTTCCCCAGTCCACAAGTCTATTAAGAGAGCAAGTGGGAAGTCAAGTGTGAAAGGAAGAAACGTGTTTAGCTGGAGGTAGAAACCACTGGGCTAGAGCTTATTAGACACCCAGGGACTGATGGGATTGAAAGCCCTGGGAAGCTTGGCAGATGTCTCCTAGGCAAAATTAACTGGGAGATGGAGGGTTCTTTTTTTTTTTCCCTAGTACCAAGTATTTTTCTCTCAAAGCTACTGTATTAAGAATCCTTTTGCTCAGTACCAAGCTCATCTTTTGGTGGGGGAATGAAGCTGAAGTTGAGGCTTTCCTGGGGAAAATGACACATTGGTTTATGTTTTTCAGACTATATGGCACTGCTGAGAGAGGAAGGAGAATACACACCTGAGTATACCGTGTATCAGGAGTACTTTAACTCCATTTTAGGTACCCAGCAACGATCTCCATCTGAATGATAACCCAGCCTTCTCAAGTGGTCTCTATCTGGTGAAGAGGAGAGTGAGGGGATGGGTGGAGATTATTTGGGAGATAGTTTTCTCTAGTTTATTTTACCATTAGGCACTGGGAATTCAAATATGCATAAGATACAGGGGCTGCTCTCTGTGTACTCAGCACGAGGGCCATGTTGCTTAGTCTGGGGTGCAGCAGAATTTTCTATGGTGCTTTTAGAACCAGAGGTTCCAGGCCCTTCCCAGAGCTCTTAGATGAATATGTCCTAAGGATTGTCCCTAGTTGGAATGGGAAGAGAAGGGTGGAATCTGAGCATATGTATTTTCCCATTGGGCTTTAGGAGATTCTGCTGAGGATCGAGGGTTGAGAACTCCTGAGCCCACAGGGGGAACGAACTTACCTTCTTTTCCAGGGTGGCAGGGCACCTGCCTCAGAGCTTGGGGATATGAGAGGAATCCCCTTCAATCACTCCCTGGGTCATGACTCTCCCTGAAACTGGGGAGCCATGGCCTGTGACTGGGCCCTTCACTCTTGCCGGCCTTGGGTAGCAGGGTACCCCAGTGGGGTTGGGGAAGGATCCTGGAATGGCCCAACCATCTGATTTTCATTGCAGAATTGCCCATGCCCCTCCAACCAGACCGTCCAGAGAGTACTTCATATAAGTCAGTGATACCGTTACATTTCTTGCCACTGTGGGACATCCTGGACTTCTTGGAACTGGTGAGCATTTTGGGCCTAGACACAGGGAGTAGTCTTTGGACAAAAGAGAGGACAGAGGACAGGCCTTTGCTCAAAGAACAGAAAGTGCACACTGGGGAATGAACAGGAGTCCTTAACAGTTTCCTTCCTTCTCCTAATTTCACAATCTGGAATAGGAATTCAGAAATTTGAATTTGAAGAAATCGTATAAACATTGTAGGATACTAGGAAGATTCCCTTTCACAACCTAGCTGGGATGAGATCCCTTGCCTTCCAAAGATGGTTAGAATGAAGGCATATTGATTAGAGGTAGGGGCAATAATATGCAAATTTCTATTTTAGTAGAGATAGTCTTTCTCCAGACTTATTGCGAAGTTCACCATATAAAACAAACTAGGTAAGTCAGGGGTAAGTTCTGTCCCTCTGTGCTTTCTCCTCCCGAAGGGCCAGCCGTCCTTTCTTTCTCTAGGACGGTCTGTGTGCTGCTTCTAATTCGACCCCAGGGCTCCAAGGAACACAGTTTGGAAATCACTGGCCAACACTGGCCATGTGAGTCCTCCCAAGAAGAAGAAATCTTCACCCAAAGAGGAAACGGTAGTTAGTGATCCTAAAGAGGCAGGCAATACGAATGTGTCTAAGAGAAAATTCTAAGGAGGCAGCAGGCAGCAAGAGGAAGGAAGATGAGAATGGGCCTCCAGTGGCATTTCCCACCCCCTAGTAAAGAAAAAAATAAAAAGGAAAATCACTGGCCAGGGGAAAAAACTGCTGAAGCTGAAGGTAGCACCATGGCTACCTCCAAGCTGCTGACGTGATCATGTGGGGCTGTGCACAGTCAGGAACTGACATTTCTCAATTATCTCATAAACTTTTGGTAGCATTGATTTGTTAATATCAAGATCCAAATGAAGGCCATCACCCATTGCATTTAATTGACATATCTCCTTTGTTTCTTTTAACCTGTATGTTTTTTAAAATTTCTTTTTATTCCATTTATTTGGTGGGAAGAAGTTTGAATGATTCCCTGAAAGTTATGGGAAGTGATTTTAAATAGGGCTGGGAGTCAGAGGACAGGTGTGTATTTCAGGATTTCTCTGGTGGTGCTGTGGGGGACAGATTTGAGTGGGCCCCTGCTAGAGCACCAAAACCAAACAGCAGTCTTCTGAACTTGAACATGGGGAGTAGGAACTAAGGAAGAGGATACATGAAGCAGATATTTAGAGCTGGACTTGACAGGAGGTGATGATTGGATGACATAGGATGTTGAGGAAGAGAAAGAAAAGGAGGGAGAGGACATTGTCTGTGCCTCCTGCCTCTTTGCCTGGGTGGGTGACGTTCTTTGTAAAGGAAAAAGATTGGCATGGGGAGCTGCAGTTTGGGGTGATGCTGCATTGGAAACCCCTGTGGACCCCAGCTGGAGGGGGCCAGTAGACGTGGTATAAACAGACACAGGGCGTTTTAGGGTCCTGCCAGATAGGTGGATTTATGAATAATCACAGCCAGTTAGACTGTGGGCCCAGGTGTTTCTCTAAGTGTAAAAAAGGAAAGGAAGGGAAGGCCAGGCTGGGATTCCTGTGTGCAGGAGCCCAGTGCAGGCTCCAAACATGGAGCGAAGAGCCAGGCCCACAAACCGTTCCCTTTTTTCTTTCTTTTCCTTTTCCTTTCCTTTCCTTTCTTTCTTTCTTTCTTTTTATTTTTTTAAGACAAAGTCTGACTCTATCACTCTAGATAGAGTGCCATGGCATCATAGTTCATAGCAACTTTAAACTCTTATGCTCAAGCGATCCTCTTGCCTCAGCCTTCTGAGTAGCTGGGACTACAGAGACCCACCACCATGCTTGGCTAGTTTTTCTATTTTTAGTAGAGACAGGGGTCTCGCTCTTGCTGGGGCTGGTCTCAAACTCCTGAGCTCAAGCAATCCACCTGCCTTGGCCTCCCAGAGTCTTAGGATTAGAGGCGTGAGTCACCACACCTGGCCATCTTGACCTCAGCTCTTCTGTCTGAACTATAAAAATCTCTCACTGCCTAGCACACCCAGAGAAATATGAGATTGGTTTGAAAAACAAAAAGGGCCATTTGCGTGCCACGCTTAAGCACAATCATCACCACATCTTCCTCTTTTATACTCCTGCTCACAAGGCACTTGGGGCCACTTCTTTGGAGAGGTGGGCTTTGGATGGGGGTTTCTGGGGTTTTTATGTTCAGCCTCAACCTTCAGCCTGGTTTTCGCTCCTGTCTGCCACAGCCATTCGAGTCTATCAAGCCGATTTCCATGGAGATGCTGCCCGTGCATCAGTCCTACGGGTACATACTGTATGAGACTTACATCTCCAAAGATGGCATCCTCTACTCCAGGGGTCACGTTCAGGATCGCGCCCAGGTAGGAGGCAGTGAGCATGGTCTCAGTGGCATCTGTCTGCTGTCATAGCCAAGCTGTGCCATTGAGGGGACTAATAGTCAAAACGTTTTGACCTTCAAGAAATCATCACTGTTTCTTAACGTCTGTCCCTTCAGTGAAATCTTTATATGTGAACTATTGCTTCTCTTTACCTAAGGTGTGCAAATGCCTGGAGGACATCCCTGCTGAGCCTTGAGGGGAGTTCAGGGTGTTTTTTGCAGAGACCTGGGAAGAGCACGAACAGTCTTTATACTTATTGCATATCACCCCTAACACGTGGCATGCGACAGTAACTCTTAAAACACCCGAGATACTTACTACACATGAGGAAACCTCAGAGGAGCTAAGGGACTTTCAAATGTTGCTTAGCTGGCGTGTTGCAGACCCCGCCTAAGGCCTTCCCAGCCTACTCCATGTCCAGAGCTGTTTGTTTCTGGCTTTGGGTGAAATTTTCTTGTTCTTTTTCTTGTTTTTCTTGTTCTGGGTGTCATGTTCTTCCAGGGCTTCAGGGACTTTGGTTTCTGTGCCTCCAGCCCTCCCCTTCTGTCCTCAGCTCCAGACCCATAGTGTCCGGACCCCCATCATGGTGTGTTTGTTCTGCAGGATTCCCCAGCTCCTCCTGCGGTCAGCTTCCTCAGTGAACCCTCCTTGGCGGTTCGCAGCCTCCCAAGCTAGAAATGCTGTTCCTGTACACCCCTCCCCCTTTCTTCACTCCTTAATCTCCTCTGGCCCCTGGATGGGGCAGCCTTACTCAGTTGTTCTTTTAAAATACATGCTATTGTCGCCTCAGTCTCATCCTGGTATCTCACTTCTGCTGTTGTTAGAACCTCGTAGTTGATCTTCTGGCTCAGTATGTGTGTTATCCTCTGTCCCCCCTTCTCTCCCTTACTGAGCCATTGGAGTTTCTTCCCAAGGCAAAAGCCTCATCGTGCCACTGGTCCTATACCCTCTGTCGGTGCTCTCCTTAGCCACCTGGCCCTGGTGCATGGGGCATCCTGGCTTCTGCCGTGGATAGGAAGTGCCCTTCCTTCCTCTATGGTCCACGTGGCTGCCCCAGCTCCATGGTCGCAGAGGTGGTAGCTCATCTGATCATTGTGTAGCTCTCCGTCCGAGCTCCTCGATGGTCAGGGCTATGTTTTAACCCAGGTGACCCCCCCTTCCCCAGTGAGGTATTGATTCACTAAGCAGGCAGATGATTATAGAATATATCAGCCTGTGCGTAGACTCTTATAAGCTTAAGTTATAAATTCCGCATTCTGTATAATAACATTAATGTGTTGCACATTTGTAGATTTGTTTTGTTATAGTTTCTGAGTCAAATTTTATTACAAAAATTGTGATCTACCCAAAACACCCTAGGAAGCAAATGATGAATAATCCCCCTTATCTGGTCTTGCATGGCCCCCGTGTGGTCTTCTGGGTGGGTTAATCTAGGGCTGAAGCAGTGCTGGAGGTAATGGAAAAGAAACAGGTTTATGTTCAGATTGTCCCTCCAACCAGGCAGGGTGGTGGCGCAGCAGATTCTTACTCCAAATGAGAATCTGGGAACGCCCAGCAGAGCGGCGTCTACCATGGGAGACTGGACGGGTGGCTGGACACGCGCATGGCTGTGGCACCTACATCTCCACGGCTCCCCTCTGCTATCATTTCTTTCACGCTGTCTATTTATTCTCTACTTTTCTTTTGCCTCATTCCCTGCAGGTCTCCTTAATTCTCTCCTTGTCCTCCCATCAAGCTGGGACCCCGCTCTCATGTTGGGACTCCTTTCTTCAGACATGGCCTGACTCAGTGCATCACTGCCTACTTTAAGTACAAATCTGTTTTCAGGAATGTGAGGTCAGCTGGTGGAATTTGGGGCCATGAAGAGTTCACCGTTCCCCTTGCTGTGCCCTTTTCCCGGCTTTCCCGCGGTCTGCCTCCCTTTCCTGATGAGGACCTAATGCTGCTCTCTTCTCTCTTTGGCAGGTGTTTTTGAACGGGCAGCTCATAGGAGTCCTGGATCACTCCACTGATCATCTTTCTATTAAGAAAAATGTACATATTCCAGTGTTAATGGGCAAATAGTCCTAGATCCTGCTGGGCCCTGCACTCCCATTTGCACGTGGCCAGGCCCTGTGGTAGTCCCTTTCCTCTTCCTTGCCCTTGGGATTGCTCCTTGCACAGGAGCCAACAGGGACGAGGCAGTTGTGTCTCTCTAGGGTCCAGGTGCACTTGCTCTGGGTAAGCAGAGCTTTACCACCTTGGATATTTGCTAGAAGAACTCTGGTTGTTCATCATCCCCAGGAGAATCTAGCAACACTTTCCCCAAAAGGCCTGGCCCAGGAGGGTGGGGCATGAGCAGGAGTGGCAGACTTGGGGTTTGCTTGGCTCAGAGTTGGGGGTTGCAGGCTCTGAGGCCTGTCTGCAGGTCAGTCCTCCAGGGGAGGCCTGGCTGGGCTGTAGGAGAGTGGCTGAGCGGGGCCCCTCTGGCTGGTCTGTCTTGCAGAAGCCCTACCAGAAACGGCAACTTCTGAGGATCCTGGTGGAGAACCAAGGCCGACTCGCCTCCGGGGAAGACATGAACACGCAGAGGAAAGGTGGGCTTCAGGGTGTGGCCCCCATTCTTCCTACAGCAGGCTGATGGCAGTGAGGGACAGGCATGCAGGTGGAGGAAAGCAGGGCCTCTCAGCCCCAGGCACCTGTGTGCAGAGACTGTGATGATGCCTGGCTCCCTCCCTGACCCTGAGAGAGGTCTCTCCTGACCAAGCCAGAGCCAGTACGTTGCCTTCCTCTTTGGGGAGGGTTTGAGTGTGGTTCTCTCAGGAGAGAGCTGTAGAATAAAAATGATGAGGGTCCCTCTGCAGGGACCTTGCTCCTTCCCTCCCTGGAGCCGGCACCTAGCAGTCCTTCCTGGCCTTCCTCCTTCCCCACACCAAGTGCTTTGACATACCTGAGACCTAGGCTGGCCGAGACAGCAGCCGCCTGTCCACTGTCAATTCGGAGGATACAGACCCCTTTCTGAGAGGTGCGCACCCAGACAGCAAGGCCTGTGTGGGGACTCTACAGTGGCCTGCCTGGCCACAAGAGGCCAGGAAAGTTGTCTCCTTCGGGGAGAGCCCGGTCATAGCCCTGCTCACTGCTGGACTCCTCTGCCTCCTTTACTTTCTGTTTCTGTTCCCCCTGCAGGTTTAACTGGGGATATCTATCTGAACAATTCTCCACTAAGAAAATTTGTAATCTACAGCCTGGATATGGAACCGAGGATTATACGAAGGTGGGTGCCTGACTATTGACTCCAGGTGATGGATCAAAACTGGCAAGTGTTTAGAGAGGGAAGGTACCTTGGGGGTCATCCAGATCAACCCCTCAGTTTTCAGTAAGTGAGACCCAAGACGTTGAAGGAAATGACCCCCAACTGTAAAGTCTCCTTGACAAGCATTGCCTGTGCTTCAGGGAGAACACACACCTCAGCATTCACAGATGGCACATTAGAGGCAGGTGTGACTTTCTGTCGGTCCTTGACTCTCTCTCAGGCTCTTTCGCAAATCGTGGAGACCAATCTCAAAACACGTCCAGGGCCCTGCGTTCTTCTACGGCATCTTGAAAGTTGGGGAGCCGAAAGATACCTTTATAAAAATGGAGGTTCGTGCCATTTTTGTCCAGTCTGTGTCCTCCCAGCCTACCATCCCTACAGGACCTGTGGAAAAGGGCTCCAGGTCTGCAGGCACCAAGAGAAGACCAGGACCTCAACCCCTCTACAGCCATCCGGGTGGCTGCCCTTCCCTGGGTTACCCGGCTGGATGAGAGTGGTGGTGTGTAGGACTGGCTGGTGGAGCCGCTGCACGGGGAGTGTGGGGAGAATTGCCCAGATGTCACCCAGCCTGTGGGGGGATGTTGTAGGTAGGATGTCAAGACACTGTTGCTGCCACTCCTGATGGTCTACAATGCTGGTTGTTTTGGCCCCAGCATTTTTTAAAAATTAAATCATAGCTCTGTACATTAATGCAATCATGGGGTACAATATGCTGGTTTTAGACACAATTTGAAATATTTTCAACAAACTGGTTAAGGGGCCCAGCATGTTTTGATGAACAAATGACTATGAAGATGGGGGAGGTGTGGTGTGAAGCAGCGCCCTTCTCCCTGACCCTCCCTGCTGAGCCAGCCGCAGACTGGTGGCTGCAGCACAAGGCCTCCTCCCCAGGGCCTTGGTGCCCATCTGTCCTGTCTGGACATATCCATGATTTCCTGTGTGAAGGGAATGTGTATGGTGTCTTCTCCTTTTGGGTTTTTACTTCCAGGACTCAGGTCTTGAATCCTCCATTCCACTCTGTTTCAGGGCTGGACAAAAGGGGTTGTATTTGTCAATGGAGAAAACCTAGGACGCTACTGGAAAAAAGGTCCCCAGGAGACCCTTTACCTTCCAGGACCATGGCTTCATTCTGGGACAAATGAGGTGAACCCTGCCCATGGTGCCCCACAGCTCCCTGTCCACTTCAGGACTCTCCCCGGCCTCAGAGGCAGAACTTGAACCTCATGCTGCCCCACCTTTTCTCCTTGACAGATTGTCGTGCTTGAAGAGCAGAGAGCTGGCCAAGAGATCAAGTTCTTAAAGTACCCTTATCTAGGTATGGCATTCTGAAGGGTGATTTGCAGCATCTGGGTCAATGCTTTTGGAGTTTTCTAGCAGGGTGTGTACCACCTATCAGGGCCCTGCCTGGTGTGATAAATATGCTCTTAGGCCTTCCTTTTTTTTTTTTTTTTTCTTGAAATAAAAGTCACATTCTTTGCCCTGGGTAGAGTGCTGTGGCATCACAGCTCATAGCAACCTCAGACTCTTGGTCTCAAACAATTCTATTGCCTCAGCCTCCTGAGTAGCTGGGACTACAGGTGCTTGCCACAGTACTCAGCTAGTTTTTTTTTTTTTTTTAGTAGAAATAGGGTTCTCAAACTCCTGAGCTCAGGTGATCCACCTGCCTTGGTCTCCCAGAGTGCTAGGATTACAGGCATGAGCCACCACACCTGGCCAGGCCTCCCATTTTAAGTTGACCTAACTAATCTGCTCCTTTAATGGCCGAAACCCACCTTCCTTGGCCTCCCTTCTGGATGTGTCCACGGTATTTTCAAGCTCTCTCTCTCATGGTGCACTGGTCCTGGCACCTGTACTTCTTGCAGTTTCTGAAATGCATTGAGCTTTCTGCTTGCTGCCTTTTCGCCTGCTGCCATGTTGGGTAACTCCAAAGCACTTTTCCTAGTGCCCAACTCAGGTTGCCATGGTCAGGGAATGCACAGACCGGTTACATTGGCCCCGACTGCTGCAGATCTCCTGTGCCCTCCTAGTAACACCTGGGACCTGCACCCCCAACCTCCCTAGTTCTTTCTGCTGCAGCAAGATTCAGACATCCTTTCAGAGAGTGGTTCCCCTTCCCTCCATAGAATCTCCATGGGCCTAGTAACCAAGCTGCCACTCCTCCATGGCGTGGATACATTGTCAGTCCTACTTTCTTCTCTAGGACCCTGAGTCTCCCCTGGTGTGACACAACGTAGGGAATCGGCTGAGCTGAGTCATTTCAGCAGTGGTGCCATGAGCAGCTGTCAATCCTGGTCATGGGAACTGCCCTGGCTTCTTCACTGGTGCCAAGCTCTGCTGGGGTCTGCCGTCCCTAACCTGCCCATGCCTTCCTCTTGTGGCTTCAGTTGGCTAACCTGTCTCTGAGGTTTACAGCAAGACACCCAATGCACACCTTTGTCATATCACTGTAGCAAAAGCTGTTTAACCCTTGAATCAAATGTTGGGGAAAAAACTAGAAGATGCTCAGAATATTTGGTCTCACAAATGTAAATCTGAAGCAAAAGTGATCTTCCCAAGAAAGCAAATAAAATACAAGGTTCATACAGGAAATGCAAGGAAGCTCATATATGCTTTGTGTTTTCTCTGTTTTAAAAAAGTGTTTTCCTTTTACTTCCCAGTGGCCTTGCCATTCCATTGGTTATCCATACTCAGGAGGAAGCTCTGCTTCACTGAGACTCATGCCAGCAGCTTTTCCTTATCATCAGTGGCACCTGATTCACAGCCCATCGATCTCCTGTCCTGCTCCCTCCTGCAGATGGCCCCAGGCCTTCTGAGCCTGGGCAGAGGGCAGAGAGAGCCATTTGAGTCTCTGGGGTGAATCCACTTGGTGGCACAGCACGGCACAGGCAGGCAGAGGGGAGACCTACGGAGTTTTACTCTCTCAAGCCACTGCAGAGTCCAGCATGGTGTAAATAGGTCCTGGGTTAGTTGACAAGCTCTCTGTGGGGCTCAGAAGAGTTAGTCACCATAGAGGCAGCTAGCACTACATTGGGGGTTGCAGAGGGGAGCCCAAGCCAAGACCCCAGAGGCTCCATGAGCTCCCAAAGGAACTGGGATTAGGCCATTGTGTGGTTGGTCCAAAATCATGAGCGCACCCTTGCATGCTGCACTGTAAATGCCAGGGGCCAGCAACCCCCACGTGGCCAAGGCCCTCTACAGTTCAAGTAGGCCATAGGGCAAGAGCTGCCTGCTCAGTGGTCTCCTTCGCTGCCCCACCTCATGCCCCACCTCTCAGCTGAAGCCCACAGCTGAAAACAGGACAGATGGCAGTTCGGCTCCATTCGTCTGTCTCTTGTTTCTCTTTCCCCCATTACCCAGAGCCCAGAAGTCTTCTCACATCATAGGCTGTTCCTTCTATACACCAAGTGTGCAGCACAGCCACCTGGAGTGTGTGTTCAAACACAGGCCCCATCCCTGGGATTTCAGTCTCAGTGTGTCGGGGCGAGGCCCGAGGATTTGCGTTTCTGGTCAGTTCCCATGATGCTCTTACTACCAGTCTGGGGAATCTCACTTTGAGAACCATTAATATAAAGCAGGATTTCAGCCTCAGCACTCTTGGCCCGTGGAACCAGATAATTCTTTGCGGTGGGGGCATCCATCGCAGGGTGTTTAGCAGTGTCCCTTGATCTCTATTCCCTGGAGGCCAGCAGCACCCCATTTCCAACTATGACCACCCCAAAATGTCTGCAGACTTTGTCAAATGTCTGGGGATCAAAATTCACAGGATGAGAAGCATGCCTGTGGAGTATATCTAATTCTCCTAGTCAGAAATGATACTTTCCCTGTCATTCAGGAAAGCACTAGGTGGGGTGGAGCCTCATGGATCAACCCTTAATAAATCAAGGGCAAAGATGAGGGAATTTGGAAACTCCTCTCTCTAGACAATAGTTTATCTATGACCCCATTTTTGCTCTGCACAATCCTATTTCTGAAAAACAAACATAGCTTGTTACTTTTCTTTTCTCTTTGTTCTTTTGAAACAAATTCTGATATTCCCACAGATAAAGGTATTCCTCGGGTAAATTGGGGAAAAGTCATGTATGCAGGAGGCTGAAGGGAGAATCATCACATCACACCTTTATAAATATTGCTCCCTGTGTGGAAAGAGGGGAACACTTGTACACTATTGGTGGGACTGCAGACTAACACAGCCTCTTTGCAAAGAAGTATTGAGAATCCTCAAAGAACTCAAATAGACCTTTTGTTTGATCCTGCCATCCCATTACTAGGTATCTACCCAGAAGGAAAAAAATCATTTTATCATAGGGACATTTGCATTAGATTGTTTATTGCAGCTCAATTTACAATCACCAAGATATGGCAACAACCTAAATGCCCATCAATTCAGGAATGCATCAACAAACTGGGGTATGATTTACCAGAATACTATTCAGCCATAAAAAGTGGAGACTTTACATCTTTTGTGTTAATCTGGTGAGAACTGGAGAATATTCTCTTCAGTAAAGTATCACAAAAATGGAAAAGCAAGTATCCAAAGTATTCAATACTACTATGAAGCCAGTAGATGAACAACTACACACCCACACAAGAGAAAAACTCAAGTTCATTCAAGTTGAGGGGGAAGGGAGGAGGAAAGGGAGAAGGTAGGAAGGAGGGAGAAGGGTGTGCTCCCACCTAAGGTGCACAGTGTAAGGTGCACATCCTGGGTGAGGGGCACAACTACAACAGGGACCTTACCTAACAAAGGCAAATACTGTGACCTAATCATTTGCATTCTTATATTAATCTGAAATACAAAAAACAAATATTGCTCCCTTTATAGCTATAAACAAAGGATGATAAGGGTGGTGCTGTACTCCTGTCTATTAATGGAACATCTCGTCTGCTGTCAGGCCCTTTTCCTGTCTTCTTGACCACTAAAGACCCTGGGCACTGTGCGCCATCAGGTACATTCATCTTATCCAAACTGTCCACTGGAGAAGCTTTCAGGGGAATTTAATGGTGGTGGTGGTGATGGTGGTGGTGGTTTTTCTCCTGATCACATGAGGTTCATGCCTTTGATGGAATATCAAATGAAATCATAGAAACTACAGTTTGTCTACCTAAGTGAGTTGGAGTGTGGATATTCTTCTATATGAATTTATTATTTATTTACTTAGTTTTATAGACAAAGTCTTGCTCGGTCACCCAGGCTGGAGTGCAACAGTCCCAATCCATAGCTCATTGTAACCCCAAACTCCTGGGCTCAGGTGATCTTCCTGCTTCAGTCTGCTGAGTAGCTAGGACTACAGGTGCAGGACACCACACCAGCCAACTTAAACAAATTTCTTTGTAGAGATAGGATCTTGCTGTGTTGCCCAGGTTGGGGTTGAACCTCAAGTTATCCTCCCACCTTGGCTTCCCAAAGTGCTGGGATTATAAGGCATGAGCCACCATGTCCAACCTCATCTGTATGAATTTAGATTCCACATTTCAACTAACCTTTAAGAAACGAATTATAAAATTTTGGTGTACTATGAAAGAAGAATATTTGTCATAGTTATCTCGAAAGGTTATGAAAATATTCCTCCTCTTTCCAGTACATATTTGTGTGAGGTTACATCATTTTCATACATGTTGACCAATATAGAATAGAATATTCTAGAATAATAGAAACACTTTTCCCCTCCCTTCTTGGCTCAATCTCTTACTTCCTTCCAGTCTTTGCTCAAGTCATATCCTAGAACAATGCTGAACAGTTATAATAAAATCCACTGGTCTAATCTTGCGTGGATCTTTTGGAACCAATTATGAGACATATACTATAACCCTGTTCTGTAAAGACCAGAAGAAAATGGTGCAATACTTTCCAAGTGCTCAAAAAAAAAGAACTTCCAACTGAAAATTGTACATTTGGTGAAAGTATTTTGCAGGAATAAAACCAGGGTAATCATGTCACAGAAAATTACGTTGACAAAATCCAACAACCATATACAATTAAAAAACTCTATCTGAAAATTAGCAATAGAATGGAACCATTTCAACTTGAGAGAGAATAGGTATACAAAACCTATAGCTAACATCACACTGAATGGTGAAAAACTGAATGTCTTCCACCTGACACTGGGACCAAGGTAAGGATGTTAGCCCTCACCTCTCTTGCCACAGACACTTTAGCTTTTATCATAAGGCATGACAGAAATAAACAGCCATATAAATTGGAAAGGTCCATATCTGCAGATGACACGATTACCTATATAGAAAATACCTAGTCGATCAACAATCTCTTAGAATTAGTAGGTAAGTTTATCAAGATAACAGGATACAAGATCAACACGAGACGCACAAACACATTTCTACATACTAACAACAAACATGTCAGAACTAAAAAAGACAAGACTGTTTAAAATGGTGCAAAATAAAATGAAATACTGAAGCATAAATCCAACGAAACAAGCGTGTTGAAAAAAATCACAAAATTCTGATGAAAAAAGTGAAAGAAGACCTAACTAAATAGATATACCATGTTCATGGATGGGAAGATTCAACACAGTTACAATGTCGTTCTCCTCAGTCTGGACTAATGCAATTCCTATCAAAATTCCAGCACAGCTACCTACAGAAATAGATAATCTTATTCTAAATTTTATATGGAGAGGCACAAACCCTAGAATAGTTTAATCTTGACAAAAAGAATAAAGTTATGCAGCTGTAAAACCAAGTGGTAAAATGTCATAATTGCCCATCATTTACAACCTAGGAATGAGGCAAAGAGGGAAAATCCATGTTTTCAGGTAGCTGAGGTTTCAAAGAGGACGGTATACCTGTAATGGATGAGACAAGAGAAAGCCCCCCCCAATATTCTGTGACAACTCTACTTCTGATTTCAGCCTGATGTCAGAGGCTTCTTTCTTTCTTTCTTTCTTTCTTTCTTTCTTTCTTTCTTTCTTTCTTTTTTTGTAGAGATGGAGTCTCACTTTATCACCCTCTGTAGAGTGCTGTTGCTAGAGCTCACAGCAACCTCCAGCCCTTGGGCTTAGGAGATTCTCTTGCCTCAGCCTCCCAAGTAGCTGGGACTACAGGCGCCCGCCACCATCCCCGGCTATTTTTTTGTCACAGTTCTGCTAGGGCTGGGTTTGAACCCACCACCCTCGGTATATGGGGCTGTTGCCCTGCCCACTGAGCCACACGTGCCGCCCAAGACTTTTGTTCTTTCAAAAAGAAGAAGACATGCAAAGGGTTCCCAGGGACATAAGGGGATTTCTCTCTTCATCACAGATTTCTAATCTAGCCCTTCCAGAATGGAGTTCCTCACTCTTTTCTCTCTCTGCAAACCTCTAGCCACTTCCTGTGTTTCTGATTTCAATCAACGTCAATACCTAAAGACTGAAGCCTGAAATGTGACGGTCCTCCCCCTCTCTGTGTATCATCTCATCCAGTCCATCAGCAGCAGCTACCAGTTTGCAACTTTCTTGAATGCACATGCTCCTCTGGCTTGGTAGTACCACCCTGAGAACGACTCAAGCCTTCATCACCTGTGTGCCATCTGGTTTTCATCTTGCAGGCAAGTAATCTCCGTAAAACTAACCTCTGTGAGTGTCTGCTTGAAATCTTTTAATAGTTCCCCCACTGTTCTCTAAAAAAAGACTGAACCACTTGGCCCTCCCCGACCCACCCCTCCTGGTCTCTACTTGTTTAGGAGCACAGAACTGTCAAACACTAGTTCTTGCGGGTGCTGTGAAGGTCCTAGCACGCTACTACTCCACCGACCAGAGCAGCGTTCCCACTTTTCTTGGCTCTGGAAATTCCCACTCATTTACCAAGACGGTTTGGGAAAACTCTTAATTCTCCAGGGCACTCTGCGTGCCTCGCCTCGTCGCACCCGAGAATCTGTATTTTAGCATTCGCACATTATATTTAATTGTGCTGGACCCTAAGGGGTCCATGATAAAACTGCCGAACCAGCCAGAGGCACCGGAGGCAAACTCGGCCGCCTCCTTTTCTCCCACGCATCCTCGCCTTTCCTGCTAGGATGGCTGCCAAGTCCGATTCCTTGCTTCCCACGCACCCTCTCCTTTCAGCGCCCGGAAACCCAAGGCCAGGGCGATAACCTAAAAATCCTCCCGCCCCACTTCCAAGGTTTGAAAAGCAGCTGCACCATCGCCAGGGCGGGTGCGGAGCTCTGAGGTCCCCGCCATCCAGAGCTCGACAGAGTCTCCTTGGTTCTGCCCCGAGGCTCCCGACTCGCGCCCACGCTGCGGGCTGCACCAGGCAGGCTTGCAGACCGCGCCATCGCCCCCGGGGATTCGCTCCTGTGTTCTGCGCGGAGTGCAGACCTGAGCCCAGCGCGGCGCCCGGCCGGGAGTCCCAAGCGTCGGGGACTGAGTGCGGAGAGGGGCGGGAGCAGCGCGGGACCTCGGCTTCTGGACCTCGCCGTGATGGGCTGCCAGCCCTTGCTCAGGTGACACTGCCTTCTGGGCTGTCCTCACGTTCCCTCCTAGGCTCTCGGTCATAGCGGGAGCGCGCCTCTGGGAGCACCCTGGGTTTTCTCTGGGTTCTATGGGTCAGCCAGTCATCCACGATATTTACTGGAAAGCCCTCCTGGGCCCTCAGACCTGCTGAGATTCTCTTTATCAATAAGCCTTCTCTCCCCCAGCTCTTTCTCCCGCGGGTGCCTTCATCCCCCGCCCCCCTCCCGCTGTTATCCTTTGAACCAGAAGGAGGGTGCAGACAGGTGTTCCAGCTGGTGGACGTTTGTCCGCTCCGAGCCTCGCGATGAAGCGCCCTCACCTGTCTCTAAGCCCTTTCTCCTTCTCCGCCTTTCGGGGACCCCTTCCTCTGGTGCTCAGCCATGTCCTGCTCCTGTCTGTCCTCAGCCTCAGGTTCTGACTGAGGAGGACTTCAGGTCGGCCCTGGCGGTGGCCTTGGGCTGGCCTAGGAGAAGACCTGCCTCGGACGTGGGCTCTTCTGAGTGTCTTGCCTCTGGAAAAGCCTCCTGGGCCTGGCCGCTTGCTGAGGTCAAGGCCTTCCCGGTCTCACTGCCACCTTTCTCCTTTCAGCCCGTGTCTCTCCTGGAAGAGGATCCTCGGCATCTTTTTCCTGCCATTTATCTTACCTAATTTTGCTCGTCGGATTAAATATGAAAATAATCTTCTATATGCAAGAGCACTTCAACTCCAGTCCAGGTTTGCCTGAGTGGGGAAGGGAGGAGCTTTCTCTTTTTTGAGGGGGGAAATAAGGTTAGAGTATGCAGGGAGGACGTCCCGCTAACAAGAGCTTTTTCCGCTAAGGTTTCAGCCATCTCTCTTCTCTCTCCCTCTCTCCCTCTCCCTTCAGGTATAATTTCTCTCATCTGACCCCTCTCCAGCTGAAGAACAGATCTGTAGGACTAAAGACGAAGAGCACAGGTTGGACTAAGCCATACTTCACCCTGGAGGGGCACAAGTTCCTGATCTTTGGGGGCTCCATCCACTATTTCCGGGTGCCCAGGGAGTACTGGCAGGACCGGCTGCTGAAGCTGAAGGCCTGTGGCTTCAACACTGTCACCACGTGAGTGCTGGCCGCTGGCCCCTGCCCCTCCGTGACTTGTTATCCTGCCATCAAATCCTGGTTTAGAGCCCCAGCCTCCGGCTTGGGGGCCCAGTGTGAGAACTCACCTTCTGAATGGTCGTTTCTAGCGCATGCCTTTATGCTTAAGACAGCTGTCACTCTGTATTATATTTACTTTGCATTCGATAATGTAAATGCTCCTTCTGTTCGCTGCTGGGTTCTCCGTGTGTTTATTAAGTCAAGCCTTTCAATTATGCTGTTCATACCCTCACAAGTTTTTTTTTTATGCTTATAATATTTGTTTCTTTGAGAAGTATTTTCAATCTTCTCATTATGACTGTGAAATTGGTTTATCCATTTCCTGTCTAATTCAGGCAGCTTCTCCTCTACTTCAAGTTATGCTATGAAGATCACAGAAGCTCAGGATTATTTTCTTTTTCTTTCTTTCTTTCTTTTTTTTTTTTTTTTTTTTTGCAGTTTTTGGCCAGGGCTGGGTTTGAACCTGCCACCAATGGTATATGGGGCTGGCACCCTACTCCTTTGAGCCACAGGCGTCACCCAGGATCATTTTTTGATGAATCATTCCTTTAATTTTTATTAGGTGCCATTCGCATTACCTATTTGTGAGTTTTGCTTTAAGAATTCATTTGCCTGCCTTGCGCGGTGGTGTGTGCCTGTAGTCCCAGCTACTCGGGAGGCGCTTGAGTCCAGGAGTTCTGTGCTGTTGTGAGCTATGCCGATCGATGTCCGCACTAAGTTCGGTATCAATGTGGTGACCTCCCGGGAACGGGGGACCACCAGGTTGTGTAAGGAGGAGTGAACCAGCCCGGTCAGAAATGGAGCAGGTCAAAGCTCCTGTGCTGATCAGTCGTGGGATAGTACCTGTGAATAGCCACTGCGCTACAGCCTGGGCAACATAGTAAGACCCTATCTCTTAAAAAAATTTTTTTAATTAAAAAAAAATCCATTTGCCTGTTATTAGTATTGCTACAATCATTTTGCCTTGTCTAAATTTTTCCATCTTCCCCCCCAACTTTTTCTAGCAATTTTCCTTAAAGTCACCTACAAGTTATCTTCAGATTTTTTTTGTTCTATTCTCTCAGTGTACAGTGATAAACTTGGCTATGTGTGTTTAGTCTTCAGCTAACTAACTTTTCATTCCTCCCCACGACCAACGATGTTAAATACAATCGATTCTGCTATACTGCAATACATATATTATTAAAAAATCTCTGCACTGCACAAAATTGTGTAATAAAAAGCACAATAAAAACAAGCATAACACTCAAAAACCTTGTCATTGACATGCAAAAAAGATAGTCGCCTCATAAGAGTGGCACCTAACAAAAATTTTGCACGTGTCCTTGTGCCCTTCCAGACTCCGTAGCTCTATGGGGGAGGGCCCTGGCAGGAGCCCTTCTCGCTGAGTTCTGACGATGGTGCCCTCCCTTTCAGTATTTTCATTATCTTCACAGAAACGCCTCGTCTTTTCTTAGTTTGATTAGTTCATAGAAATAATCTTTTCTTTTTAAAAGAAATAATTCCTTTTCCTTGTCTTTATAGTTTTAATGGGTATTACAAAACGTGGGATGGTGAATAGGAGAATTTATATGTCGATACAAGAAATCTAGAATCATAGGGAAGTTGGGAGTTTGGACCACAATTGGGTAATAGAGCAAGGAACTACTGAAGAGAGAGTCTTTGTAGCGTAATAGAGGCTTAATTGCCATTGGAAAGTTCAACTTACACCAAAATGGAACTATCCCAGGTTTTGGCTTCGTCTTGATCTAGCAGTTTGGAAGTAAGAAATAAGAAGGTGCTTATCAGCCTTTCCTCTTGCTTTTTCCAGCTACGTTCCCTGGAACCTGCACGAGCCCCAGAGAGGCAAATTCGACTTCTCTGAGAACCTGGACCTGGAGTACGTGGTGCTGCTGCCTCTGTGACCGGGCCCGGGGAGGGGCAGAGAGGAGGCTACTTGGGTGGATTAGGAGCCGGAGGGAACCCGAGAGGGACCTGGGTCTGGAGCCTTGTTCTCAGGGTGCTGTGAGGCCCTGCAACCAGGACCCAGATGCTCCCCAGACATGGCCTGTCACCTGCGGGGCTGGGCCTGCAGCCTCTTGGGCCCCACTCTCCATGGCAGCCCAGAGGGGCTAAAGACCCCAGGTGCTGCCCACTCTGCAGGGGAATCCTGCATCTGGGCTGAGACTGGGGCTGCCCCTCTAGGGGAGCAAGGTCGCTGGGTTCAGGCTCAGTGTCTAAACCCCTGTGCCCTGTCTGATAGGCTTCCTCCTCAGGCCTCAAGAGGCTGTGTAGATGGTCTGGAGCCAGGAGCAGCTCTGACCTCAGGGCTGGTGTGGGATTCCCTGCTGTGCTGGGGGGCTTCCCTCACCCCAGTCTGCCTGGTTGGGAGAGGGAGGCGCATAGAAGAGTGGAGTGGCTGTGCCGCCCAGCCTCTGCCCTGGACTGTCATGGCCGGTGTTGGCTTGTTTATTCCCCAGGGCCTTTGTCCTGTTGGCTGCGGAGATCGGGCTGTGGGTGATTCTGCGTCCAGGCCCCTACATCTGCAGTGAGATCGACCTTGGGGGCTTGCCCAGGTAGGTGGGGCTACTAGTCCAGTTGTGGTTTTAGTGAAGTATTTTGCTTTAGAAAAAAATGAAATTTCAATCTAATAATGCTGACAATGACCTTTATTTAGGGAGCCTGCTGTGTACTACTCCATGCATTTTATCTCCATTGTCTCCTGTGCTGCCCGCAGTAACGTGGTGAGGGGTGGGTGCCACTGTTGTCCCCATCTCACAGATGAGGAACTCAAGGCATCGGGCCTGGTGCTTGGGGCCTGTGGCTCAGAGAGAAACACTCACAGATGCTCCCATCCTTCCTTCCCCACAGAGCAGGGGCATTGACCACCTCTGTTCTCTTGGGCTGCGAAGAAGGAGACAGAAGCTCTAGGGCCTGCAAGGGAAGGTTCTGACGCCTCTGATCTGGCTAGCTCCTCTCCCTTCCTCTCCCTTTCCTTGGCCTGTTCCATGCTCTGTGTTGCTGGGCCTCAGAGCAGACTGCTATGGTTCTGAGTGAGAATCCAAGGACCCTCTCCTGGTTTCCCTGAGTGCTGACAGGCCCCTCCAGGTCAGCCCAGGGCTCTGCCTTTGAAGGGGTACTTTTACTCCCCACAGTAAAGTGAAGACTTTGCTTTTCTCCAGGATGGGCTCTTCCCACCCAGCTTGGAAGCAGAAATATCCTGAGCTTAAGGGGGATGGGAGTGTTAGGGAAACGACTGTTCCCTATGCAGATCGGGGGGACCTGCCCGACCTCTCGCCAGCGACCTGAGTGGGGACAGCAGGTGTTACTGGCTTACGCTCACCCCCTGTGCTTGAAGTCTTAGGTTTTTTTTGAGACAGAGTCTCAAGCTGTCGCCCTGGGTAGAGTGCTGTGGCATCACAGCTCACAGCAACCTCCAACTACTGGGCTCAAGTGAGTCTCCTGCCTCAGCCTCCCAAGTAGCTGGGACCACAGGTGCCTACCATAACACCTGGCTATTTTTTGGTTGCAGCCGTCATTGTTGTTTGGCAGGCCCGGGCTGGATTTGAACCCACCACTTTAGGTGTATGTGGCTGGCGCCTTAACCACTTGAGCCACAGGTGCCCAGCCGAAGTCTTAGGTTTTAATGGAAATGTGACCTTGTGCCTAAGGAACAGATGCTTTCCTCAAGTCAAATGTTCCTAATAAATTGAAAAGAATGGAGGAGAGTATTCAATAAATGGTAAAAGAAACATAAAACTTATTTAGACGTGGGTGTGAAAGCCCGACAGCCTCAGCTCCTCAGTCTGATTGAACAGAAGCTGTGAAGTGCCCTGGAGTCAGAGGCGGGGTGTTTTCCTCTGAATCTCACAAGCCTGTAGGCATAGTCTGAAAAGTTTGCACAGTACAGATCTTCCCACAGCCTTGAGAGCTCCAGGGCCAAGGATGTGGGCCCGTGGGCAGATGTGACCCGAGTGGAGGCAGCTCTGGGGAGGGCTGGTGGCCAGCTGCGGCCGTCTGCTCCCTCCTGGTCCCCCTCTGCCAGACACAGACCCTGCCTTTCTCACCCCCAGCTGGCTCCTGCAAGACCCCGAGTTGAAACTGAGAACGACCAGCCCGGGCTTCCTGGAAGCGGTTGATAAGTATTTTGATCATCTGATTCCCAGAGTGATTCCTCTCCAGGTAAAGCCAAATTAACTTTTCCTTCTTGGTTAAGTTCACTTTAGGGTAATACCTTGTTTGGGCTCAATCACCAAACAGGCCACGTCCAGGCTCTACAAGAAATGAAGCTGACTTGTTTGTAACTTTGAATTCTCAACTCTCATCTTAAGGACAGAAGCTGTTTCTTGTCCTGTCTTTGTGCATTGATCCTAAGGCCTCTCATCCCACAAGACAGGGACAGCAGAGACAGGTGTCCTGGCTGGGACACGTCCTTGATAATCATTCCCTAAGCTCACTCTTCTTTGGGTCAGCTTGTTTATTTTGACTCTTGGCGAAAAAAGCTCAGAAATTACAACAGAGTTTGCGGTCAAATAGAAGCCTCCCCTCCTACCCAAAGCTATTGAGTTGCTTCTTCAAGAGACAACTCATTTTACTAGATTTTTATATATCTTTCCAGAGATGGTCTACTCATATAGAAGCAAATTATACGAATGACATCATTTATCTCTATAAAAATATACAATTTCCACTGGCCATTTTTCTTTTGTCATTTGAAAACATATATTTTTACCTCTGCCATTATGTAAAATGGCTGCAGAGTATTCCATAGTATGAATATATCTTAATTCATTTAATTAGTGCCCAAGCATGGATACTTGGAGTTTCTAAGTTCATGGTATAATAAATGACTTTGCTCACGTGTCATTTTGTATCTGTTGGCATTCTAGTTTGATTTAGTCCCAAGAAAGGGAAGAATGTGATACACATGGTTATTATTTAGGTAAAAATAAATCTTAGTTTAAAAACACAGTTTTTGACATAGTTTGAGATGGGATGAAACCCAGGAGTATTTGGTAGTAGACAGTTAGTTTATTATTTTAGGCTCTTCTGTATGGGGGAGCATATGCCAGGCATGTAGATCCAGCTCTTTATAACTAATCCTGAATTGTGAACTGTGAGTTATTCTTATTAGGATAGTTACAAAGAGGACAATCAGGATTAGAAAGGAAAGGTAAAGTTTAGGAACAGTGCTCATGCTTTTGGAAATATGGGTACTGCAGAGGGGAAGTGAACCCCATCTTCAGAATTAAACTGAGTCTGCTGGGTGGACTCAAGATACATCTTTTGGAGAAAGTGCTGAAGCCATATGTTTCTGCCTGCACTTCCGCAAAATCTACATGGGACACAGTGGCAGGAGTGAAAGACTTTGGATATTTGGGTGAAGTTCAAGCACAAGTACATACATCACTTAGCATTTGTATGTATGCAGCAAGCAAAGAAAATTTATGACCATCCCATTGAAATCATGAGGGTGGTAAATCCTAGAACATGTTTAAAATGAAAGGAATTACATGTAACTGAAACATATAGGGCTCATAATTGATACATTCATAGTATTTAAAGTATTTAACTGATGGTCTTCATTGTGTTAATTATGATGTAAAATAATTTTTAGAGTGCACTCAGTGTTTTACTTGGGTCTTTTGTTTTTCTAATCCTATGTATGCCAAAAAGTCAACTGTGAATTCTATGACGTTTTTAGAAATGTCACCCTTTAGGTTGGAGAGAAGATACTGTTCATTAATAGAAACCACTGTTCCCAATTCATTCATTCAGAATATTTACATCCAGTCAGCATGTCATTATTGAAAGCCAGGCACTGAGCAGTTGTTACCGAGTGGTCCACATACTGGGCAGGGGCAAGTGTCCAGTCCCGAGGAGGACAGATGTGGTGCTCCTGTCCCATGGAGCTTCCATCCAGCATGGAGACAGAACTCCACGTGCTGGATGTGCTGTAACTAGATGGTAGTCAGCACAGTGAGGAGGTGCAGGGGGCCCTGACAGGCAGGAGTGTGTACCAAGCTCTTGCTGAGAAAGAGAGGCTCAGAGAATGTTTTCCAGAGAAAACAGCAACCTGAAGACGGGACAAGTGTCAGCGAGGCTGGGCAGGGCTCTTGAGTCCCCAGCATGGACCAAGAATAGACGGCAAAAGATGAGTTTGAAGAGCAGCAGGAAGCTCAGCGCCCCTGGGTGGGAGAGAGGCAGAGGCGGGTCTGCAAGGGAAAACCTGCCCTTCACACTCTTTGTCCTTTGTACCCTCTCGGGAGTGAGCAGCCCTTTGTCCCAACTCCAAGGTTGGCATTTACTCTCTGGCCAATCGGACGGCTTCATGTTGGGAGTGAAAAGATCAGACCTTTGCTTTTGAAGACTCACCACTCTGCCTTCCATGTGGAGTGTGGAGGGGCTCTAAGAAAGAAATGGACTTGCGTGTGGAAGGACATTGGAAGATTAAATTAAGGGCTGAAAAGTGCTTTAATTTTAGCACAACTCGGCCAGTGTTGATGGTTCAGGTGGCATGATGGACTGGAAGCTTTGCTAAGGTGGCTTGAGGAGTTAAAGGGGGAAAGTGGAGCACAGACAACTCTTGCAGGAAGTTGGTCTCGGGGAGGAGAGAGCAGGAACACTTTGGAGCTCCCTCCCTCCCCTTTTCTCTGATGTGAAAGGCCCTGAATGCGTTTCCATGACAACAGAAGTCAGTCAGCTTGAAAGGCGGTGGAAGGGAGAGGGACTGTGCCAAGAGCTGAGCGCCTCAGCTGGTGGTGGAGGGCAAGAAGCCCTTGCTTGCAGTGGTGGCATTACCTTAAGACCAGGGGAGGAGACAGGTGTCTCTTTGCTTTGTCAGGTGAGAAACTGGATAGGAAGGGCACAGAAGCAGGTGCATTTGTAGGTCTGCGAGATTAGATTTGAGTAGCTCATATGAGGAATAAGGGGCAAACTGTGGCAGCTGCTTGACTGCAACCTCTGAGGGCAAGGAGGACTCCTGCAGCAGCTCAGCACCCCCAGGGACCATGGCCTCAGGGCTGGGAGGAAGGAGAGCCCATGCAGGAAGGAGCCTGGTATCAGAGGACAACACGCCAGCTGTGCTGGCTTAGCTGCAGCCCAGAGACTCCAGGCTTTTGGCCCTACCGTATTTCCCTGAAAATAAGACCTACCCCTCAAATAAGCCCTAGCAGGATTTCTATGCATTTGTTAAATATAAGCCCTACCCTGATAATAAGACCTAGTGATGGGTCTTATTATTCAGGAAGACATCTATGCATTTGTTAAATATAAGCCCTACCCTGATAATAAGACCTAGTGATGGGTCTTATTATTCAGGAAGACATCCCCTGAAAATAAGCCCTAGTGTGTCTTTTTGAGAAAATATAAATATAAGACAGTGTCTTATTTTCAGGAAAACATGGTAGTAGCATCTCCCTTGAGCCCTCCTCTGCTTCTCTCTCAGTACTCCCAGGGAGGCCCTGTCATCGCACTGCAGGTGGAGAATGAATATGGTGCATACGCCCAGGATGTAAAGTACATGCCCTATCTTCACAAGGTAAGAAACACTCGGTTCCCCACATTCACGTGTCTCCTCGCTCAGTCTGTCTCTTTCCCAGCATGTTTCTGATTCCCTGATGTGTGGGTGACTGTGCTGGGCGCTGTGCAATCTGAGACTGTACATACAGCTGACCTTTAGACAACATGGGGGTTGGGGTGCTGACCTCTCGCAGGGTCACAAGTCTGAGTATAACTTTGACTCTTTTAAAACTTAACTGCTAATAGCCTACCATTAATTGGAATCCTTATTGATAACATAAACAGTTAATCCATACTTGGTGTGTTATAGTGGTATATACTGTGTGCTGACAATAAAGCAAGCTAGAGAGAAGAGAACATTACTGAGAAAATCGTCAGGTGGACGTGAATCACCATAAAGGTCTTCACCTTCATCATCTTCACATCGAATAGGCTAGGGGGGAGCAAGAGGAAGCTTGGGGGGCTGTCTCAGGCGTAGCAGAGGAGCGAGAGGTGGAAGGGGAGGCAGGAGAGTTACATGTGGTATAATCTTCATTGAAAAAGATCTGCGCATGAGTGGACCTGTACAGTTCAAACCCAAGCAGAAGGTCAAGTTCAGTCTCTCTGTGAATTTACATTATGGTCAGAACAATGAAGATGTATTTAAACAACTTTATTATGAAACAAAATGTGGCAGTAAAGATCATTTCTTTCTATCTGCCATTTCTATAATCCATAATTCTCATGAAAGCTGAGGGTTGATGTGGTGTCTCTATACTTAGAGTAAACAATGATTCAAGAAAATGGTGGCTAAAATCTTGTAGTTTTCTGGCCTATAGTATTAATATCCTTTCTTCTGTTCCCTTTGATTCCTCAAAGAAGGATGTCTCAGAACAACTTCAGTCCCTTCTGGTGTCTTAGCCCTTCCCTGTCCCTAACTTCCCACTTTGGGGAAGCTGATGAGCCCAGTCTTAATGGGACCTCCTATCCTAGGGTGCTAAGCAGGTTGTGAGGGTCCTGTGGTCTGGCCTGACCCCTCCTGATTCTGCCCTTGCCTACCTAGCTCTGTCCACACAGAGACCTCTGGCTGAATGGCATAGAGGGGAGGGGTCACCAGCTGGGCAAAGAAGGGGTCAGGAGGGCAGAGCTGGGCTCCATCCCTGCACCAGCTCCTGTCCTGCCCCCACAGCATTTGGAGTAGAACAAGGTCTGTGAGTAATTCCTCTCCTTATTGTTACTCAGGAGCTGGCAGGACTGCCCCAATCAGTCTTATTCAGCTAGCATTATTTCTTCTTGATTTTCAGATTTACCCCTCGACTCTATCCCCAGATCTAGCTTGAGGAACACAGGAGACACACAGAGGGGGCTCTCTGGCTCCTTGGCCTAGGAAATATGATTTTTTAGATTAGCCCTCCCCTCCTTGCCACGGCCACTTCGCTTGACAGTGTCTAGGTGGGCCCCAGGCTTAGCGAATTTGATCTCGGATCTTTCTGAGAGCCCCACGGCTCAGCCTCTCCTTCCAGCACTGAGCCAGTGTTTCCCAAGTTGTCCTTCTCTCCCTTTCTGTGAGTTAATTCCCCCCTCAGGGTGTTTCTTGATAAATTCAGCTCTTCTTCCCTGAAGACTTTGACCTTGGGTGTCAGAGCATATACTCACTGATTTTAAGGTTGTCCCCCTGAACTCCAAACATCTGGCTAAGACAGAGACAGTGGTTTCCCCCGCACTAAGACGCAGGTGGTCAGACTCCAGATTCGGACCCTTCTCTAGTGCACATCCTGCCATTTGAACCCCGCTGGGTCCATTCCCCACTTTCCTCATATGGTCATCCCTTAGTGTTTAGATATTTAGATGTTCAAAGAAAATGTAGATGTTGAAATAAAATGGTGTAGTACTTGCATAAAAACTGTGCACATTCTCCTGTGTTAGGTATCCTTCAAATGATCTCCAGATTACTTATAATATTTGCCAAACAAATAGCTATTATATTGTATCATTTAAGAAAGAATGGCCAAAAAAGTTCTGTACATGTTTAGCACAGATGCAATGTTTATTTTTGGAGATAAGAGCTCACTCTGTCACCCAGGCTATAGTGCAGTGCAGTGATCATAGCTCATTGTAGCCTTGAACTCCTGGGCTCAAGCGATCTTTCTGCCTCAACCCTCTGAGTAGCTGGGACTACAGTCTCATGCCACGACACCCGGCTGTTTTAAAATTTTTTTTTTTGTAGAGATGGGATCTTGCCAGGCTGGTCTCAAACTTCTGACTATAAGTGATCCTCCCATCTTGGCTTCCCAAAATGCTGAAATTATAGGTGGGAGTAACCACACCTGGCTTTAAGGTGCAATCTAAAAAAAATAGTTTTTTTTTTTTTTTTTTTTTTGAGACAGAGCCTCAAGCTGTCTCCCTGGGTAGAGTGCCGTGGCATAACAACTCACAGCAACCTCCAACTCCTGGGCTCAAGGGAGTCTCCTGCCTCCACCTCCCAAGTAGCTGGGACCACAGGCGCCCGCCACGCCTGGCTATTTTTTTTGGTTGCAGCCGTCATTGTTGTTTGGCAGGCCCGGGCTGAATTGGAACCTGCCACCTTAGGTGTATGTGGCTGGCGTCTTAGCCACTTGAGCCACAGGCACCAAGCCTAAAAAAAATAGTTTTGATTGGCACTTGGTTGAATCTGTGGATGCAGAACCCACGCATATGTAGGGCCAACTGTATTGCCTTCTTTTCCTGGGGTCCAGGGAAGTGGGTTCATTCTGTTCATGTTTTTTCAACAGACCCTGCTGCAAAGAGGGATTGTGGAGCTGCTCTTGACCTCTGATGGTGAGAAGGAAGTTCTGAAAGGCCACATCAAAGGAGGTACAAATTTAGAGTTATTTTAAAGCAGCAGGAGGCCCTTAGTGTGTTTAAATCTTGAAGAAGCTTCAGAGAGACCCAGGTGTATCTCTGATGCTTCTCTTTCCCATGTCCATGGCTGTGGATCCCAGAGATCTGATATTACGAAGATGAGGACACCACACCTCAGCTCAGAGTTGACTCGCCAACTCTATCTCTTGTCCTTTCAGTAGCAGTGAAGGAGCAGCCCGGTCCTTCCATCTTTCCTGCTTTCCTGTGGCTGAGGCCTGAGTTGGTGCTGGGTGTGGCTTAGGATCAAGGCCTCCTCCACCAATGTGGAGAGCCACATGGGAACCAGCAGATGTCAGAGTCCTATTCCTGGGATCCTGCAGCCTTAGGCTGAGTGTAGATGTTTAGTAGACCCCAGAGAATAAAGCAGCAGGAGAATTTAGGACAGAATCATAAGATGACAGAAGTGAGGGAATGACCAGAGTGTGGGCAGGTGGTGGGTTCAGAGGGGACCTGTCGGGTGGTCTTAACCTGGGACCTGTGGTGGCTGTAGGCTGCTGTTCTTCCCTTTACTGTGGGTCTTCTGCACATTATTATGATGCCCTGGAGAGGGAGCTGAGCTGGAGGCCAGGAGACCTTGATTAAGTCTAAACAAGTCAGATGGACTTGACCTGGTTCATTTCCTTGCATACAGTGTGGTTAATTTTAACTGCCCTTCTCAGTACAAATGAGTGTCCTTGCAAGTGTCCCATAAAGGCTATGGAGGTCCTTGCTGTATTAGGTCACGAAGTGGGATGCCCACAGTATCTTGTCACCCTCCCATATGCGGGTGGGCCTCCCTCCCTTCCCTGGAGGTACTTGTCACAGTGCCTCAGCACGGCCTCCCTCTTCTCTCTGCAGTGCTGGCCACTGTCAATTTGAAAAAGCTCCGCAAGAATGCATTCAGTCAGCTCTATGAAGTACAGGTAAGACATTCCAGACATGAAGAGATTTGCCCCTCCTCCTGCATGCACCCCCCCCCCCCGCCTGTGCAACACTAGAAACAAAGGTTTTCACTAGAAACAAAGGTTTGACAAGAAGGTCACAGCTGTTCCCCCTGGGTCTCCAGCATGTTCCAAAGCCATTTGGCATAGGGAATGAGGAGGAAAGCCACCTGTGTCACCTCAATCTGTGGGTCATGTCCTGGAGAGGTCTGTGGGAAGGGGGGCCTACGTAGTGTAAACCTCACTATGGAATCAGAAGGGGCGACATTTTCTCCCTGGGTGTGGACGGAGCTCAGACGTGGGCGTGTGCATTGCTTACAGAGAAATCACTCATGGTTTGGGTGAGGGTAGCCTTCTTCAGCCAGGCTGTGCAAATCACAGGAGTGAGTGAGTGCTGTGCATGGGGTGACTTAACAGACATGGATTGAGAAGCCCCTCCTCTCCTTTCCTCTGAGTGAGTGACCTTCTGTGACAGTTACAAAGATGGACAAACCATCGTCCATGCCTCCAGGGGATACGTAGAGCATTTCTTTCTTTCTTTCTTTTTTTTTTTAATTAAATCATAGCTGTGTATATTAATGCATTTATGGGGTAAAATGTGCTGGTTTTATATACAATTTGAAATACAACAAACTGGTTAACACAGCCTTCACCGCATTTTCTTAATTATTGTGAATGATCAATAAATTGTGGTATATGTACACCATGGAATATTATGCAGCCTTAAAAAAAGATGGAGACTTTACCTCTTTTATGTTTACATGGGTGGAGCTAGAACATATTCTTCTTAGCAAAGTATCTCAAGAATGGAAGAAAAAGTATCCAATGTACTCAGTCTTACTATGAAACCAATTTATAGCTTTCTTATGAAAGCTATAACCCAATTATAGCCCAGGAAGAAGGGGAAAGGGGAGAGGGAGGGGAGGGAGGAGGTTGGGTAGAGGGAGGATAGTTGGTGGGACCACACCTACGGTGCATCTTACAAGGGTACATATGAAATTTACTAGGTGTAGAATATAGATGTCTTAACACAATAACTAGGAAAATGCCATGAAGGCTATGTTAACCTGTTCGATGAAAAACATTTCAAATTGTATGTGAAACCAGCACTTTGTACTCCATGATTGCATTAATGTACACAGCTATGATTTAATAAAAAAAAAAAAGCCATTTATACTCTACAATTCGTAGATTCCACATGTACCCTTGTAAAATGCACCATAGGTGTGGTCCCACTAATCACCCTCCCTCCACCCATCCTCCCCGCTCCCCTTCCCCTCCTTGCTCTTCAAGCCCCAAGGTGGTCATAATTATCTTTGTTTAACAGTTTAACATATCCTTCCTTTGCATACAGGGCCCAGGATAACGTCCAAATCCGTGACACAGCCTGCTAAGCCTGGTGTGACACTTCCATTTCAGGCCCCACCCATGCTGCCCTTTCCCTGGGCACAAGGCCTTCCCTGCAGTTCTTATGCTGTGGCGCCCCCACTGGGCCAAAGACTTCCACAGCACCCATGCTCTCTCCTCATAAAATGGGTTTGGAAGTGTTCTCTCCTGTTCCATTTTTCTGAAATAGATTGTATTTCTTTCTTTTTTGCAGTTTTTGGCCGGGGGCTGGGTTTGAACCTGCCACCTCCGGCGTATGGGGCCTGCGCCCTACTCCTTTGACCCACAGGCGCCATCCTTGTTTGTATTTCTTAATATTTGGTAAATTTCACCAGTGAAATCATCTAGACTGGAATTTTTTTTTTTTAGAAGATCGTAAACTAGAGATTCACTTTGTCTAATAGGAGTACAGAACGATACTGGTTATTCCTTCTTGAGTGAGTGTGGGTAGTTTGTGTCTTTCAAGGCTTCATTCTATGTATTCTATTCAATGTTATCTAAGTTTTTGAATTCATGGACGTGGAACTGTTTGTGATAATGCCTTTTTATCCACGTAATGTCTTTGTTGTCAGTAGTGATGGTTACTGTTCATTCCTGATCTTGGTAGTTTTGTGTCATTTTGTTTTGATCAGTATGGCTAGAAGTTTAGCAGTTTTATCAATCTTTTCAGAGAATTAGATTTCGACTTGATTTTTTTTCCCTCTTTTTTTTTTTTTTCCCTCTTTTTTTTTTTTTTCTATTTCACTGATTTCTGCTCTGACCCTTGCATTTTCTGTGATCTGCTTCCTTTGTATTGCATTGCTCTTCTTTTTCTAGTTTTTCTTTGGTGGAAGCATAGGTTACTGAGTTAAGACTTTCCTTATCTTTTAATCTAAGCATTGACTGCTATCAGTTTCCCTCTGTGCACTGATTTGGCTATATGTCACCAATTTTGATACACTATATTTTTTATTGAGTTTAAAGCCTTAATTTTTTTTTAAATTTTCCTGGAGGGTGATTCCGTGCATTAATTATAAATGTATTGTTTAATTTCTTAATCTTTGGGGATTTTTCAGCTGTCATTTTATTATTAACTTCTGGTTAATACTGTTAAGGTCCACGAACATACTTTGTATGATTTCTGTTCTTTTATATTTGTTAAGATTTGTGTTATGGATTGTAATATGGCCATTCTTGGTGAATGTTCCATGTGCATTTGAGAAGAATGTGTATTTTGCATTTGTTTATAATTTACCATTAGGTCAGGTTGAGTGATGGTATTGTTCAGGTAATCTCTATCCTTACTGATTTTCTGCCTACTTGTTCTATCAATTATGAGAGGAATGTCAATGCCTCTAAATATGATTTTTCCTTTTAGTTCTTTTTTTTTTTTAGTTCATTTTTTCTTTTAGTTCTCTTTTTTTTGTCTCATGTAACTTAAAGCTCTGTTTTGTCAACTAAAATAATCCAAAGGGTAAGAATCTAGCAGAAAGAGAGTTTATTCAAGTGCAGGGTTTGAGGATAGCCATCCAGGAAGCACAGACTCCACGGAATGGAAGCCAGTGCTCTGAAGTGTAGATGTTTGGGATCGTTCTGACAAAGTTTAGGGAAGTTTAACAGAATTTTACCATCTTGCTATGTAAGCCTTAAGTTGTAATTATAATGATCTAATAAGCTGCGGTAACGTTTTCCTTTTGGAAAAGGTATATTTAACATTCTCCGCTGAAGATCTAACAGTCATGGGGTCTTTTGCACCATCTGACCTGAGTTAGGTACAGGACCATAGAGAAGGCAATTAATCTACAACAAATGATTGGAAGTTGGGGGGGGGGCGTCTGGTCTCTGGAAGCAAAGATTGTAAACATGCTACGGGACTCAGTCTCCAGGGGTTACTTTCCCCTTTGACAGAATCAGTTTATAGATTCCTGAAATTTCATTGTATTTTACAATTTTTAGGTACACACACATTTAAGATTGTTATAGTTTGTTGGAAAATTAACCACTTTAACATTATGTAATGTCTCTTTTTCTTGTTCTGAATTCTCCTGTTTGATGTAAATACAGCAACTCCAGTTTTCCTTTCATTAGTATTTGCATGGTATATCTTTCTTTATTCTCTTGCTTTTTATCTACCTAAAAGTCTTAGATTGAAAGTGGGTTTCTCATTGACAGTGTATATTTACATTTTGCTTTAAAAAAATCATTAGACAGTTTTTGTTTTATTAATATGGTTACATTGTTCATATTTCAAGTGATTATGGACATGGTTTGATTAGAATCTACCTTCTTACTAATTCTTTTCTATTTTTTATCATTTATTTTTTTATTTTTTCCCTCCCATTTTCTTGAGCTAATTGAGCATTTTGATGACTTCATTATTTTTAATATTTCTAATTTGAATTTTTTTTATTGTTGGGGATTCATTGAGGGTATCATGACTTCATTGTATCTACTCTGCTGACTACTTACATCACTTTTAAAAATTGCAGTTGTTGCCCTAGAATTAAAAATATGAATTTTAAATTAATATAAAAGTACCTTCAAATACTAAAGTGATCCCCAGGTAGTATTAAGATCATCTAACAGTATCTTCCTAATTCTTCATTTTCAAGATGTCTCGCCATTGTCTCGTTTGCTTCTATGGTTTCCGATGAAAAGTCTGTATTGGGCTTGGTACCCATAGCTCAGTGAGTAAGGCCCTGGCCACATACATCCAGGTGGTTGATTTGAGCCCGGCCTGGGCCTGTTAAACAACAATGACAACTGCAACCAAAAAATAGCTAGGTGTTGTGGCAGACACCTGTAATCCCAGCTACTCGGGAGGCTAAGGCAATAGAATTGCTTAAGCCCAAGAGTTTGAAGTTGCTGTGAGCTGTGATGCCACAGCACTCTACCCAGGGCGACATAGTGAGACTGTCTCAAAAAAAAAAAAAAAAGCTGTATTGATTCTTATCTTTGTTTTGGTTTTTTTCCACTGGCTGCCTTTAGAATTTTCTCTTGATATTTAGTTTTCAGAAGTTTGAGTATAACATGCTGAGATGTGGTTTATTTCTTACAATTTATTCTGCTTGATGTTCACTGAGATTCTTGGATCTGTGGCTTGGTTTCACTGGTGAAACTTAGCAAACATTAAGAAATACTAACAATTTCAGAAAATGGAAAAGAACAGAATACCTCCAAACTCATTTTATGAGGCCAACATTATTCTAATTTCATAACTAAATAAATACATTTCAAGAAAACAAAAACTGAAGACCAATACCTCTCATAAGAATGGAAGTAAAAATTCTCAAGAAAAATATGAACAAGTTGAATCCAGTGATACATAAAATGATAATACATGACAGTTAAGAGAGATGCAAGAACAGATAATTAGTTTTAGAGAATATTTTATAGCTTCCAACATAGTAATTATAGTTATTCTCCATTTGATGGTTACAACATCAGTGTCATAGCTGAGTCTGTTTCTGAAGATTGCTTTATCTCTTCCAAACATGACTTTTTCTTGCCTTTTTGTATGTCTCATCCGAAAAATCTGACCATGCTCGATAGGACAGAGATACTGTCTTGTAGATCAGCATGCCTTTCTTTCTGCTAGGCCTTTGACGTGGGACTTTTTGTTCATCTAGTCAGAAGTTGGGCTGGATTTGAGGTTTCTTGTTGCTGTGTTTTCTCCATACACCGTAGGCTTCACATTTCTCTAGTGATGCCTTGTTTCTGGGTGGGTGCTGGCTTGGCAGAGGTTATTTCCTCTAGGTCTGTATTCCCCTGTGGATCTGCCTTGTGCCCTGTAGAGGATCTGTCTCTTATCGGCCTCTCAGCCATATTAGGTGTTACTTTTTGTCCACTGTGGTTAGCTTGATGGGGAGGGAGGAAGTTAGTTATTCTCTGGTGTTCAGAAGAAAGCTCAGTCTCAGACTGTCTCTGGGTCTGAGGGATGTGGCTTCTAGAGGAGCGCCTCTGCCTCTTCTCTTGGCAGTTCTAATCCTACCCTGTACTTTCTCTCCTTTCTAAGGTTAGTGCTTTTCTCCCTGTTCCCTTTTCCTAGACGCATTGGTGTTCTACCAGTGCCCAAAGGACACAGCTTTTGTGCTCTTCTCTGCAGATTAAGTCTTTGTTTCTTATGGGAGACAAGGCTGGGAGAAGATCTGGCAGTGGGCACTGATCTGTTTCCTCAACCAGTACCAGGAACGAAGCAATGTTATTTACTAGGGCTGCCTCGACAAAGGATCACAAGTGGTTGCTGAAACAGCAGAAATGTGTTCTCTTATAATTCTGAAGCTAAACATCTGAGATCAAGGACTCTCTCCTTGGCTTGTTATGTGGCCATCTGCTCCTCCCTACATCCTCACATGATCTTTCCTCCATGTGTGTCTGTGTCCCACATAGTTTCTTGTCCTCAGTGACAGGATTGCTCCAAATAACTTATAGCATCACTACTGGAAATTGTGAGTCTTCTGTTATATCTTTGAATATATTTAAAACTTTATTTGATTCATTTTCCTTGGGGACATAAGTTATTAGTGATGTAAAATGTCTTTTGTCTTTTCCTTTCATATCTTTCTTGTCTATTTCTCTCTAATCCTTTCTTCTTTCTGCTTATTTTTATTTGTGTTTATTCTTCACTACCTTTACATTTTAGCTGCTTCCAGTTTTGACTTCTTCTTCTTCTTTTTTTTTTTTTTTAGTTCAGAAAACCTATATTCAGAAAAGATTTAGAAAGATCCATCATCCAGGAGGCAGGTCAAATGGACTCAGCTACAGATCTCACTAAATGTAGGAGAATCAATGGGAAGCAACATAAAGCCTTCTGCTGGGGCATAAAAAGGAATCAGTCCATGTAATCAAGAAGTTACTTTTCTTCCTCATCTAAATGCTTACCTCTTAAACGGGCTCAGAGAAAGGTGCTGATCATTTGAACTGGTTGTCTATCAAAGTTCCCTTCATTTTTGCTTTCTTGGCTTCGAGTTCAGCCAGCTCTTGCAGTCGCCTCTTGCTCACGCCTCTGCGCTCCAACTGTTTTTCAATCACTTTGGCATTCTGTGCATATGAGTCAGCAACTTCTCTAGCCTCAATCTCCTCTTCCTCTTCATCAATGGTTGACACAGTGACAGAGCTGAACTTGCCCATGTCTTTAGTTCGTTTGGTCATCATCACCTTCTTAGGAGGCTCTTGTTTCTGAGTATATATATTCGTCTTCCCAAAACCCTGGCCGAACTTGACTACTGCTCCATCCACAATGAAGGTCACGGGAGCATTCTTTGGCTGGGTCTGGTAGAAGAGTGGCAGTCCACACTTGGCGCACTTCTTCCTGTACTGCCGTTCAATGCCTTCAGGCCTCCGAAGATACACAGTCTCCTCCTCTTCTGTGTTACAAAACTTGTGGGCGTGTTTGGCAGCATCAATCACACGGGCCCGGTCCCGCGGCCTCATGGGTAACTTCTCTAACGGACAGTCCAGCACCAGGACCATCTGGCCGCACAAACAGTAGTAGACATGGAGGGGCTTCTCGCCGTCGTCATACTCCTCCCGGTCCCGGGTGTCGGAGCAGACGACCGATCGCGACACTACTTTCGGCATAGCTCAGGGCAACGCTGGGAAAATTCTGCGCGAAGGAGAAGGATGGCGCAGAGATGACGTCACGCAGGTGCCGGGCGCCTTTTTCTGACGCCTTCTTTTTTCTTTCATTTAAAAAAACCCTTCTGGGTCATACTTTAGCTTCTTATGATTTCTTATCACGTCTTCCTTGAGCACTTTGAATTTTTTTGTATGCTTTCAATTTATAGAGGTGATTGTTTCATTGAGATTTTTGACTTTATATCAATATTTTGGGGGCCACAATTTTGACCTGTACTACGGAAAGAGTTTGGTGTTTCTCTTCTAATTTACTTTCCTGTTTTTTTTTTTTTAACCTTCTTTTTTTGGTTGCAACTTCTAATCGATTCTTTTCTTGTTCCCTTTTCATTATTATTACTTAACCTTTGGTTGAGATTAGTTCTTATTGGCTCGAATACTTAAGTGAAGTTACTGTGAAAGAGAGCTGTAACTGTATTCAGCCTAACAATGTGTTTAGTGTTGAAAGTAGGGATGGATTCTTTTCCCTTTGCTCATTCTCCCAGTGAGTCAGGATAGATTGCAGGATTGCTCACACAGGCTGCACTAGCACCATACTCTTCCTGCTAATAGGCATCCAAACTCTACATCTTTTGATCCCCTCATAGATGTTCATTACGTTGGCATTCCTCTCTCTTAATTTATGTTGTAAACTTACAGATGTCTCTTAGACGGTGTTTATGTTTCTTTTTCTCATTCCTCATTTTTATTTTTAGGATTTCTGAGTGGTGAATATCAAGCCCACCAGGAGCATAGGACCTTTTTAACACCAGATGTCAGTCTTCTAAGTAAAAATAGAGAATCAAGAATTTGTATAATTTTAATAAAATGTCACAAAGAGAAAGGTAATTAAACTACCAATAAAGAAGAAAATGGAAATCGGGGAGCATAAGAGTTAATTTGAGAAACAGAACACAGTATCAAAAAGAATCATTAATAACCCTAGAGACATGAAAAAGATTATTATGCATGAGACCAGTATGGGATATTAAGAAAAAGACATCATTAGAGAGCCAAAAGGAACACTTTGATATTAAAATCTAAGTTTTGAAATTAAAAATTAAATATATGTGTTAGAAGGTAAAGTTGTTAAAATTTCCTAGAAATAGAATAGACACAAAATATAAGACACAAAGATAAATATCTTATAGAATCATTTTAGGAGGCCTGATATCTTATTAATAGTAGTTACAAAAAGAAAAGATGAATAACTTGAAGGAAAGGAAATTATAAATAACTAACGTGAGAATTTCCTTTAACTGAAGTATATAAATATGTCTAGATTAAGAGTGTCCTTCAAACAGTAAATGATAAAAAACCCCACCTAATGTGCAGTTAGCATCCCACAGAGAGAAAATCCATAGGCTTACATATTAAGCAGAAAGAATTAGAATGGCATAGGATTGTGAAATATTGACATTGGATAATAGGAAGCGACAGACTGTCTCTAAATTTTTAAGAATGAGTCAATTTCCAATTTAGAATTATATACTCCGTCTCAATATTAATTGTGTTGGGAGTCAGACATTTGGAGAGTCAGAGTATTTTCCATTCACTCTTTTCCCTGGAAGGGTTTGGAAGATGCAGGAAACAAGGGATTACACAAAGACAGAAGAGGACATGGGAGTTGGAAAACATTGTATCCAACCCCTGAGATCAGCTAAAAGAAGTATATAGAGTGTGGCCATTTCAGATCATAGCCGGATGCTGGTGGACTCCTGGATTGCGATGAGGAATGCAGACTTGAGATGCAAGGGGAGCTCAGCCATCCTCGTCCACTTTAACATTCTGGGCACAACAGCAGCTGGATCTGCTGTGGGGAGATGCTCCCTTTACAAAAAAGAACCTTCATTATTTGGCAGCCTTGAAAATGCTGAGCTAGAAGTGGCTGCAGGTATCTGTGGCAGCTGACCGTTTAGTCACCCAAAATACAAATATTAAAAGAAATGTCTGCATTTTTAGGCAAAAATTAATTTAGAAAGTTTTGAGACATGTATTGCTCTTGTATGTTTTCTTCTAGCTTTTGATAACAAGTCGTTGGTAATCCAGAGGCAATGTAGTGTTAATATAACGGTTTAAGAGCACGGATTCTTGGAGCTAGGTTGGCATACTTCACATCTCAGCTCGAGCACTTTCCAGCTGAGTGAACCTGGACATGTGAACTAACCTCAGTTTCTTCATTTGTAAAATAAGAACTGACAGTATCTACCTCATGGGGTTGTTACACAAAAAGGATTAAATGAAGTACTCCCATCTGTGCCCGGCACAAAGTAAAAGTTCAATACTTTTTACCCGTTTCAATGGGATAATTATTTAACATAAATAAAAGGTATAATCCATAAAGATGTGACAACACTTAAGAATTTTGTAAACCCTATTGTTCAATTAACAAAAACATACAGAGGAAGAAACAGTTGTAAGGAGGAAATGAATAGGGGCACCATTTTAAAGGGCACCGATGAAGTAGAATAGAATTCAATACAGGTGTATAGAAAATGAACAATACATTTGACAGACCGTATGACACGGTGGCTGACAGTTGGGCTCAGGTCTGGATTTGGGCTGAGATCTGTCCTTGCCAGCAGTGTCTGAGCCCCCATTTCTGCATGAGGTCCTTGTGTGTCCAAAATGGATTCTTTCAACACCAGCCTTGATTAAGACAGGATTGAACTTTCTGATGGTGCTTTCCAGGTGGAGCAGGGAGGCACATAAAGCTAGGGGTCTGGAGACCATAGGTGTTCAGGAGCGGAGGAACCAGAGCTATGGAGGATGGCTAAGGTGTAATGGGTGGTGGGGCAGGAGCAGGTAAAGGATTTTGGATGGAAAGGAGGAAAAACATGAGTCCCTCAAGTTCTCCTATGTTATATTCAGTTTTTCTGATGTTGTTTTTTGGTTTCTTGTCAGACTTAGTATTTGATTTGGTTTGTTTTAGAGAGGTAAGCCACTTCTGATCATGGAATTCTGGGTCGGCTGGTTTGACAGGTGGGGAGAGAGCCACCACATTACAAATGCGGACAGTGAGTATCCAGCTGTGAGTCCTGGGGCTACACACGCAGTTCTCTACTAACTAATTCACTACTCAGCCCCAAATATTCATTCTCTCAACCCCTGTTAAGTACGAGCACTTAGTGGCCCCTGAGGACACGCAGAGGAATAAAACTTCCATGGTCCCCCCCCCCCAGCTTATAATTTAGTGGAGTCAACAGATCATTGAGAAGTATTACTCATACAATCAATGTATAGTTCCGCATCTGACAGGTACTTTGAAGCAAGCAAACAGGTGTAATGATAGAAAAGACAGAGGAGAGACCTGCCCAGAAAAGGTAATTTCGTTACAGAAGTTCCTCAGAAAACAGACCACCTCTGAAAAAGGCAGTGCTGAAAGTCATAATCACCTCTGGAGAATGCACAGGCCTTTTATTTTTTATTTTATTTTTACAGAGATCAGTGTAGTGCCACCATCCCTTTTAAACAGGCATTTTCTTTTCTTTTCTTTTCCTTCTTTCTTTTCTTTCTTTCTTTCTTTCTTTCTTTCTTTTTTTTTTTTTTTTGCAGTTTTTGGCTGGGGCTGGGTTTGAACCCACCACCTCCAGCATACGGGACTGGCACCCTACCCTTTTGAGCCACAGGTGCCGCCCATGCACAAGCCTTTTTCTATGGAGTTGTCAACTACATGGGAATAATGATCCAGAAACCACAGACACTGGTGGCTGAGGGCGTGGATCCTGTGGCCGAAGAGGGGAATGTTTTAATTCCAGCTCTGCGGCACTGGCCACATGACCTGAGCAGGTGGTCTTCACTTCTAAATCTCAGCATCCTCATCCAAGAGAGGGGATTATCACGAAACCACAGAGTTGTTCTGAGGGTTAGATGGAGCCTCTCAGAACGATGCCTGGCAGTTGTTTACGTGATAAAAGTGTGTTGCTACTAAATGTATTTTCTGTTATAACATACTAAATGTGTTTTCTGTTATGGAAACAAGCTCACGTGTATATGTAGGAAAACCACTGAAAAAATACTTAGTTACTGAAAAAACAGGAAAAGAAACAAGATGAATCACATCTACAACCACCACCACCATCAATGATAACACGGCCAGCAGTAATACCAGCATCACTGCCGCCCAATACAGCTTTCTGGTGTCTTCTGTGTCAGGCATCATGCCATATTTCTTAGAGAGATTGGGTGTCCCAAAGGTTGCCCGTGAACTTGGCATACAGAGGGGAAACGAGAAGTTGTAGCTAAACGTACCTTTATTTACAAAATAGTCGTTATAAAATTTTACAGAGTGGTGGCCAACAGGTGGAGGGTATTTTGTAGACATTGTATGTGCTGAAACAAGATGGACAAATCACAGTCTCTGCGCTCAGGGTTGGAAAGAGCCACTTGTCTATTGCTGTGGTTCTAAGCCACTCCCCAGAGGCATCTTACTAAAAGGTAGTAAGTAATAAGGATATACGCCCTATTTTTCTAATTCCAAAAAATTTAATGAAATTTAGATGTTGAAGTTGCATAAGGGTTCTTAGGCTTTAAGTGACATGAGATACAACACAACCAATATTTATTTTCCTTATTGTTGTGCTGATTGATACATTGAAGGAAACATCATTATATGAAGACTTGCTGTGTGTCATTTTGCTTAAAAATCAGTTTCCTAAGACCCTAGGAATGATGTTTAGTGAGGACTTAATGCGATTGATCGTGGGGTGGGGGCTGGAGATAAGATTTCACCAGCCACTTCCTTCTCAACTTAATTTGTAATTGCCTCCGTGTCCTCCTCCTCTTTCCGTCCTATAGACCTTGAGTACAATGTGTCTAAACTCATCAAACACGAGATCTCCTTCAACTTATACATGTTCCATGGAGGAACCAACTTTGGCTTCATGAACGGGGCCTCGTATATGGGGAGGCACGTCAGTGTTGTCACCAGCTACGGCAAGTGTGTGCTGGGGTGTCTGCGGCCCTCCAGCAGGGGCTGCGGGTTCATAGGCGCGACTCCCACGGGGGTCCTGGCATCGCTGCGTCTTGACCTGTAACCTGTGCTGAGCACTAACTGAGGACTCTGGGATCTAATTTCCTATCTTCTGTGGTGTTCACACTACCCCAGGCGACTGCCACTGAGCAGGCGGGGCTTTCCAGGCCTTGGAGGGCCATGTCACTCTCTGGTCCACTGACCCCTTGACTGAACCTCTGAGGGGGGCAGGAAGCAAGTGGTCATGGCTGTGAGGCACAGGCGGGCACAGCTAGGCAGTCAGGACTGAGGAAAGAAAGAGATGCCACTGGAAAGTGAATGGAGGGAGGAGCCCAGTGTCCCCAGAAAGGGTTGTGGGTGATGTTCCCAGATGGGTGTCCCATGCGCACAGCCCAACCTGGCATGGAGCAGAGGCTGGGAGAGGTGTCTTCCTCCCTTCTCACTCTTGGGGGCCCTTGCCCCCCACTTCATGCCAGAGGCAGGGAAACAGGGCTACTGTGGGGGACTGCGTGGCCTGTGACAGTCTGGTGTCTTGCAGACTATGACGCTGTGCTGACAGAGGCAGGAGATTACACGGAAAAGTACTTCAAGCTCCGAAAACTCCTTGAAAATGTCTCAGGTATGCAGCAGCCGCTTACTCTGAGGGGTCATGCTCCTCCTGGGGCATCTCCATCCTGCCGAAAAGTGAGGAAGGCAGAGATTCCCCTCGTGCCTGTAGCTTAATCAAGCTCTAGGGTTTCCCACTGAAAATTTGCATGAGGTTTTCTTTTTTTTAAAGCATTTCTAAGCCCTTTATGTTGCAATTTCTTCATTGAATCATGAAGGTAATGATACTGGTCTCCTGTGATGATTGTGAAGCATAAGTAAGTTGCTTTTGGTAAAGCTCTTAGTATCATGTATGGCGTAGTAACCCCAAATACAAAAGCCAAAATTATCATGTTTAATTGTTTTGTTTTTTTTTTTAATGAAGTTAGGTAAGCATCTATTAAGGGCTAGACACTTGTGAGCACCAGCATTGCCTAAAGATGTGGCACAATCCTTGTTCCCAAAGAGCTCTTACTGTGTGGCCATCACCCCTCAGCGGGCTCTGTGTCTACCCGTGTGTGTGGATGCAAAAGGGCTTCAACTTGCTTATTGCCTATGACCATCACTCTTAGAGAAGCACACCCATGCCCCAGGGTAGGAGCCATTTGTCTTGTTGGCTCTGGGAGGCAAGGAAAGCCACTGAAAAATACTCAGTTACTGAGTATGGGGGTGGGGAGGCTTAGGGAAGGCAGTGGTCATTGTAGGCGCTTCTCACCCTGTGACCGTATTCATTGCAGTAACACCCCTGCCCAGTTTACCGAAACCTACCCTCCCTGCTGTGTATCCTCCTGTGAAGCCATCGCTCTACTTGCCGCTGTGGGATGTCCTCTCTTACTTAAATGAGGTGAGCCCTGCTTGAGAAGAGGAGTCAGTGTGGCCATGGAGAGATGGAGGGGAGATTCTGGCAAGGAACTTTTTATTGGGTAGTATGACTGCTAGTCTTCTGCATTTTGTCCAAACTTAGAACCACCAGCCCCTTCTGGGTAGTCGGCGAGGGGCATTGAACTTGAAAAATCAGTGTGTATAGGGGAGGAGGGTGGGATATGAGAGGATCCTATCCCCAACGCAGATGGACCCATCTGGTGAAAGCTGTTGTTTGGGTCTGTGTGAGCCACACAAGATCAGCCAGGAATAGCCGCTGAGTTAGGAACCCGTGACACTGAGCTTCTGTCTTCCCTCCACCAGCAGCTGAGACATCACTGCTGCCCCTTTAAAATTAGATTACCTGTCCCATTTTGGAGAAAGTATGAAAGCTATTTGAAGCTGGAACTCTCGAATTCGTGTGGGTTTCACTTCCACTATTTCTGTTTTAAATGAAAAATAGCGACTGGTTCATTGCAGATGCTAAATAAACGTTTGCTCAGTGCTCAGTTCAACACTCAACTTCGGCTCTTTGAGAATACACTTCATTCACTCTGAAAGATCAGTTCTTAGCGATTAGAGCAATTGTTCCCTCCTCACTGTGCTCTCCTGGTCCCCCCGGGCTGCCTGGTCAGTGGAGATCTAAAATGCAGGAGCTCTGTCTCATAGCATCTGTTTTATTATTCCCGTTCAAAGAACGCTTGGGGATCATTATGTGAGGCCACACAAAGAGAGGAGACCATACACATTTTCCTAGAAAATGCAAAATGGGGCGGCGCCTGTGACTCAGTGAGTAGGGCACCGGCCCCATATACGAGGGTGGTGGGTTCGAACCCGGCCCCGGCCAAACTGCAACAAAAATAGCCGGGCGTTATGGCGGACGCCTGTAGTCGCAGCTACTTGGGAGGCTGAGGCAAGAGAATCGCCTAAGCCCAAGAGCTGGAGGTTGCTGTGAGCTGTGATGGCACAGCACTCTACTGAGTGCAATAAAGTGAGACTCTGTCTCTAAAGAAAAAAGAAAATGCAAAATGAGCAGAAAGTTAGGATGACGTTTCTGACTTCTCATCACTTTGACTTCTGTTCCTACCATGTGTTCCTCATAGCCGGTCAAATTGAATCAACCAGTCAACATGGAGAATCTTCCTATAAACAATGGGAGTGGTCAGTCCTATGGGTTCGTCCTTTATGAGACCCGCATCTGCTCTGGAGGCTTCCTCTGGGCTCATGCTCACGACATAGCAGAGGTAGGTGTCCGTAGGCTGTCCCCGGTGGCACGCAAAAACCATTAGCCTGACTTAGAGAAGCAGTTTGTCCCTGGCTCCTGTTCCTGTTTGATAATATTTTGAAGCACCTACTACGCGGGAAGCATTAGGAATGAAAAGTTAAGCTTTATCGTAGTTTAAACTCTGCTGGGGTCCCCTAGGCAGCTTTTAGCCATCTGTGAGCACCAGGGCTAGTCCCCGCCTTCATAACGGCCTCCCCAATAGGAACCACAGCCTCCCCTCTCCCTTTCTTCAGGTGAACTGAGCAGTCTGACGCCTGCTCTTCTGTTGCAGGTATTTTTGAATGAGACAATTATAGGATTTTTGAACGAGGCTGTTCGGGGTCTGCGCATTCCTCAATTCAGGGTATGTAATTCCTGAGTTCGGATGATGCCTTGGCCTTCCCACTCAAGTGCAAACACAACCTGTCCTGACACAGATCTCACACTTTCTCCACCACTGCTCTCTCCTGCCTGTTCCTCACTTAGGGCCATGCCAGGTGGATGCAGGGATGGAGGCAGAACTGCGGCTCCCAGTCCTGGTGCTCGCTCAGGGAGGGTGGGAGTGGAACTCCTCATTAAGCTCCAAGTCAGCCTCAGCCCCTGTTTAGATCTCGGCTTAAAGGCACAGCTGCATCTCTCTGCCTTTCCTGATAGGATCAACAGGAGAAAGGGCAGCCTGAGTGCGGATAGGAAGACAGGGGGCCTGCTGGGCTCGGGACCTCCCTTTTCTCCCATTTGCTTGTCTTTCTGTCTGAGCCTCCAAGGAAAAAGTGGGTTCTGGAATAAGAGCCCTGCATGGTCATGTCTCTGTGAACTGGTCTGTCCTGAGCAGGACTGTCAGCTTCTGAGGATCCTGGTGGAGAATCAAGGACGAATCAATTATTCCTGGAAAATGCAGAATGAGCAGAAAGGTGAGCTCTGGGCCTGAGACACAGCTTACTTGGAACCTAAGACTGGGGCTGTGCTGAGGTCGGGAGGGAAAATGCCTCCGTCAGCAAAGGAATAAAGGCGTCCCAGCACCAAAGTCTCCTTTCCTATCCCTTGTCCTGCCTTCCGTTCAGGGCAGGAAAGTAGAACATCTCTGGTGGGTGCTGGCTTATCCTGAAGCCGGACCCAGCCTCTTTTGGGGGGAATTTCAGGGAAAGTTTCAAACTAAACAGGGAATTTTTATTTGATTTTATTATTTTTTATTTCAAATTAATACGAGGGTACAAAATTTTAGGTTACATTGTTTTCAGTTCTAAGGTCAAGTTCAAGTTGTAGTCGAGCCCTTCACTCATGGCGCGTGCTGGACCCCCTCACATCGTGCACATTAGGGAGATCCTGCCCGTCCCCTCCCTCCTCTCCCCTCCCCCTTGCCGGACTACATTTGTGTTTTGTCATCTAAGAGGGACATTTTCTTGGTAGTATGGAAACACAGCAAGAAACCTCAGTCATGACAGGTTAGAAAAACTTGCTGTTGCAAAGCGTATGTTTGCCTGTATTTCTTTGCCCCAGATGCTGGAGAATGTCCAGTCCTCATTCAAATTCTCTTTCCTGCCTCCCATCTGCAGGATTAACTGGATCTGTGACCATCAATAACATTACCCTGGAGAATTTTACTATCTATTCCCTGGAGATGAAAACGAGCTTCTTTGAGAGGTAGGCTCACACCTGCTCCAGTGGGCACTTTGAGTGATCTGGGAACACAGAGCTTTGAAACCCTTCACTTTGTAGATAAGAGCCCAAGATTCAGAGAATTGAAGTGTTTTTCAAGGTTATCAGGTGCTTTGGAATCAGGACTAAAATCCTAGAACAAGTCTCCCGGATTCGATGCTAACATTAATACTTGAGTCTAATACATCTCTCTGAAACAGAATCCAGGTTAGGGGTACAGGGATCAACACTGGGACCAGAGTTGGGAGAGGTTTTCCTGTCCCTGACAGCTGGGCCTTTCTTTCAGGCTCCGCTCTGCCACCTGGAGGCCTGTCCCACTGAGATATCTGGGCCCTGCCTTTTACCGTGGTACCTTGAAAGCTGGCTCTTCTCCCAAGGACACCTTTCTGAGGCTGCAGGTAAGTGAGACGCCTTCTGCTGCTCTGGGGTTACAAGTACGAGTTTTTTTTTCTAAAACTTAAGACAGAGTCTCACTCTGTAGCTCCAGCTAGAGCTCTGCTCTGTCAGCCTAGCTCACAGCAACCTCAGATGCCTGGGTCCAATCTATCCTCCTGCCTAGCCACCTGGCTAATTTTTTCCCCTTTTTTAGTAGAGATGGGGGTCTCGCTCTTCCTCTGGCTGGTCTTGAACTCCTGATCTCAAGCATCTATTTTATTTTTAAAGAGTCCTGGAGCAAAGCCATAGTGTTCCTGGCAGGAATACTTCCCTTTCTCCATGTCCTCATCTTCCTCACCTCACATCAAGCCTCTCGACATTTCTCAATCTTCCTAATGTATTATTGTTTAGAAAGTAACACATCAAAACACCATGGGAAAATTCAGGCAGTAACAAGATGTAGGTAGCAGAGGGTGGACATTCTCCTTCAGACCCACCCCCATTCCAGTCCTTTCCTTCTCAGGGCTAAATGTGTCAACAATTTGTGTGATTTATTTATTTATTTATTTTGTAGAGACAGAGTCTCAGTTTATTGCCTTTATTGCTCAGTTTATTGCCTGGTAGAGTGCTGTAGCGTCACACAGCTCACAGCAACCTCCAACTCCTGGGCTCAGGCGATTCTCCTGCCTCAGCCTCCCAGGCAGCTGGGACCACAGGTGCCTGCCACAACGCCCAGCTATGTTCTTGTTGCAGTTTGGCCAGGGCCGGGTTCGAACCCGTCACCCTCAGTATATGGGGCCAGCGCCCCACCCACTGAGCCACAGGCACCACCCAATTTGTGTGTTTTATATATAATTTTGCCTAAACACAGTCAATTATTTTTTACACTCATGGGATTAAATGATAAATTTTATTCTGCAACTTGCTTTCTTGGGGGTGATGGTGACAGGTTAGTTTTAACTTTTGACTCTTTTTATTTTAATTTATTTTTTATTGAATGGTAACTATATACATTAGTGCACTTCTGGGGTACAGTGTGGAGTTTTCACACACAATCCGAAACACTTCCATCAAACGACTCTTTTAATTTTTAATATAAACACGCATAGACAGCATAAAAGCACAAAAGGTGAATGTACAAATTAACAGATTATCACAAAGTGAACATCATCTAATTATCATTGAGATGGAAGAATATTGTTAGCACCCCTCCCAATTCCTGACTCCTTTCTCCTCCGTGGCAACTACTATCTTGGCTTCTAACACTCTAGGACAGGGACTCCTGTTTGACTTTATATAATTGAATGACACGGCATGAATTCTTTTCAATGTGGCTTTGTTCATTCAACATTCTATTCAGCCATTTGTTGATGTTGGAGTGATGAGTTCATTTTCTCTTATGTGTGTGTGTTTACGCATATTTTGCCTTCAATGAATAGTCCATAATTTATTTAAAGATAGACATTTGGATTCCTTCCAGTGTTTGTCTCTGATAAATGATTAAGTTAAGGCTTCTTTCATGTTTATGATCACGACGGAGACACTTTGTCAGGCTTTGGTGCTAAGGTTTAAGGCCGTCATACTTATACTATAGATGGTAGATCAATGTCAAAGAGTTCAATCTGGTTCATCATCTTGTTTCAAATATTTTCTGTCTTTATTGATTTTTAGTTGCTTTGTCTATCAGCTATTAAAAAGTTATATGGAAATTTTCACTACAGTTATGAATTTATTTCTCCTTATTATTCTGTCAATTTTGTTTATTTTGCTTCATATCTGTACTTAGTTTTCCTGCATATGATATACACATTCATGGTAAATTAAGAATTTTATTATCATGAAATGTTTTTTATCTCTAATAATGCTTACCTTTTTAAAAAAATTAAAAAAATTTTTAATTTTTTCAATATTTTTTATTAGATCATAACTTTGTACATTGATGCGTTTATGGGGTTCAGGGTACTGCTGCGCTATACAATGTGAAATGCTTACATTGAACTGAGTAACACACCCATCACAATTACACTCATTTCTTAATAGCTTTGAAGTGTACCATTGCATCACGCACATTAGGTGAGGTCCCGCCAAATAATGCTGACCTTAAAGTCTCCTTTTTCTGATCTTAACAGAGCTATCGTGCCTTTCTTTTAGAGTTTCTATGTTTTACCTTTTTCCAGTGTTTTTATTTTTGCACTGTTTCTTATGCATAGCACATAACAGCTTTATTTAAAATCCAACCCAGCAATCTTTGTACTTTAATTTGCCGATTTCATGTTTTACATTTTGCTGCATCCTTGGCTAAGCAAAGGCCTCTAGCAGAAAACCTGCCTGGTTGTATCCTCACCTCTCCATTTTCTTTTCCTAACTCTTGACCCTACAATTCTTCATTATATTGCAAGTCGATTTAAAAAAATTGAATATCTTTTATAGCTGTGGTCAATAGTAGTGTTCATCTCTATTATCTAGTATTTATTTCTGGAAGCAGAAGACCTGTTTTTAAAAAAATACAACATGGCTTGGTGCCTGTGGCTCAAGTGGCTAAGGCACCAGCCATGTACACCCAAGGTGGCGGGTTCGAATCCAGCCCGGGTCCGCCAAACAACAATGACGGCTGCAACCAAAAAATAGCCAGGCGTTGTGGCCGGTGCCTGTGGTCCCAGCTACTTGGGAGGCTGAGGCAGGAGACTCGCTTGAGCCCAGGAGTTGGAGGTTGCTGTGAGCTGAGATGCCACGGCACTCTACCCAGGGGGACAGCTTGAGGCTCCTGTCTCAAAAAAAAAAAAAAAAGAAAAGAAAAAAATATATAACATGGCAGGAATAATAGTATTAGCACTATCACAGGCAGGAATAATAGTAGTAGCACTATTAAAGGCTTAGTCCCATTCATTCCATTAGTAGACAGCAGGATGGAAGTTCCAGAAAATATTCCATTCTACACTTGCTTCCGCGTTGAGTGACAGAATCACCTCAGTCTTGCTGGCCCTCCCCAAGTGCCTTAGGTTTTATCTTGCCAGTGTTCCTCTGTCTCAAGTCGCCATTCCTTCCAGAACTGGCATTATGGATTTGTGTTCATCAATGGACAGAACCTTGGGCGGTACTGGAATATTGGGCCTCAGAGAACACTTTACCTTCCTGGTACCTGGCTTCATCCAGAAGACAACGAGGTGAGTAACCCCGACTTCTGCCTTGAGATCTCATAAAATTTCAGCGTCGTTCTCCTCCTGGGCTGATGAGGCTCTGCCTTCCTCTTGTCCCCCTTCTCTTTCTGTCCCAGATCATCGTGTTTGAGAAGATAATGAGTGGCTCAGACATCCAATCTACAGACAAGCCCATGCTATAAAACGCTGTTCTAACCTATTTCTTGGATTGTGAGAGTTCATTTATAAGTTGATTTTGAGGAAGAGGATTTAAGACCATCAGGTACAATGTTGCTTATAACAGCAAAAATGTGAAAACTCAAACCATCAACAGACGAGCGGTTGCATATTTTAACAGATAGCAACACGGTGCCTTTAAAAAGGCTTTAAAAAGTCTTCAAAATCCTTAATGACTTGTTTATCTAGTTAAATGCTTGATCTTTATCAGATTCTTTTTCTCTAATCCTTTATCCAGATATGAATAAAATAAAAATAAATCTTACTTCTGCTTCCCATATGCAATTGGGAGGAAGGGAGAGGTTCTAGCCGGGGGCAGAGTAACGGCCCTGCTGACCTGTGCCAGGGAGAGTATGACATGTGCTGATTGGAAGACTCATGGTCTGTGTGTGTATATGTGTGTGTGGGGGAGCAGGAAAGAGCAGCGAGCAATGAGCGATGTCTTTAGGCATATCCCTGAAGCTGAGTGTGTGTCTCCAAGGTGACTCGGGAGGTCACATCCAATCAGAGAATGAGCTGAAATTGGCTTGTTTGCTTCTGACATGTGTGATGGCAAAGCCTGGCCCAGAGTCCTCTGTGTGTTCTTATTCCTCAGCTATCTGGGTATAGTCAAGGATACTGCTGATTAGCAGGCAGGTGTTAGTGAGATTAGCCCCCTGTGCAAAAATATTCCAACCAGTCTTCTCAAACGGCACCCTTGGAAACAAACCATATTCTTATAAACAAAACATATGAACCAGTGCAATAGTACAAAATCTTCTCACTGTGTTAATATAGGCCTAGGGCCTTCAAGGATTGTAGCATCTAATCCAGTGTCCAAAGGGAAGAGGAGTTTTCTTTTCTGATTATCTTCTCTCCCGCTGATCTGAATGGCTATCTCACTGAAAGAGAATTCTGTCATGCACCTCCACAATTCCTACCTAAAACTTTATTCTCTGGGGCTCCAGGCTCAAACCTATGAAGTCTGTGGAAACTGCAGGGAAGGGCTGGAAAACAGAACAAATAATCATGACGATCATGAGTAAATATTACATTTCATGTGTGACGTACACTAAACATAACTACAGCCATGCACGTACCCATTTTACAGAAGGAAAAACCGAGGTTCAGAGAGGTGTTTGAACATGTCTCTCTGTTTCACTCCCCTTTGCTATTCTCCCTCAGCTTGCACCTGTGTCATACTTTTCCAAATATCAATGCCAAAGTGCTACCCAGAAGACAATGTTTTCAGTGTACTTACAGAAAAAAGCTTGCAGCAATACTGTCTTTCAAAAAGAGCAACCGTAAGAAACCAAACTTTTAGATAGACAAAAGCCAAGAGAGTTTGTCATGAAAAGATCCACGCTGAAGGATGTTCTGAAGCAGCCTCTCTCAATGTTCCATAAGAGAATTAACCCTGCACAAAATGTTTTCAGGAGTTTGTAGTTTGTTGTATCTTCTGGATGTATGTTGGAGAAGTCGACTCATTCTGTATCATGGCTGTTTGGGGGCATTGGAGGTTCCTGAAGCAATGGACAGAAAACGTGGCAGATACAATGTGACCTGAATAAAAAGGGGCTGTTTCTAAAATCACTCTGTCTCACCAGACCATGGCCAGGTGAATTGAAGAAACCGGCAGATCTATCGAAAGGCATTTGGAGAGTAAAGCTGCCAATTTTAAATTTAGTGATGGATGACATCACTGATGGTTTTTAAATTAAATCATAGCTGTGTACATTAATGCAATCCTGGGGTACAGTGTGCTGGCTTCATATACAATTTGAAATGTTTTCATCGAACTGGTTAGCATAGCCTTCGCGGCATTTTCTTAGTTATTGTGTTAAGACATCCCTATGGTGCATCTTACAAGGGTACATGTGAAATTTACTAGGTGTAGAATATAAACATAACTGATGTTATAAATAAGCATCAACTTGCCATTTTTATTAGCAGCGTTGATGATGAATATAATGTCACTGAAGAAATGGCTTCTTTAGTGCCATTAAAAGACCCAACTTAATTAACAGATTTATATGTGTCAGTAAAAAACAAGTTAAAGCGATTGTCTTTGTCCCTGGTCAACATATCTGGTATAGTTGGTGACTGATGGTGCCCCAGTGATGGTAGGTAAAAGAGGGACTTATAAAATTAATAGATGATGTAATTGCCACCCCAAACTCACATTTGATGAAGTATCATTGCATAGTACATCAAGAACATTTATGCACAAAAGCTTTAAGAATGAATAATGTCATGCAAAGCATCGCCAGGATTGTGAATTTCATAAAGGCTGAAGGATTGAACCCCAAGCAATTCCAGGAATTCTTTAAAAATATTGATGCCGACTAGAGTGACATCATTTACTTTTTGGAAGTAAAATAGCTAAGGCGGGCCAAGGGTTGAGAAGATTTTATGATTTTCAACATGTTATTAAGTTGTTTGTGGTATCAAAAACCAAATTTGTGCCAGAACTTGATGATGAAAGCCGGTTTACAGATTTAGCATTTTTAGTGGATTTAACTGCTCATTTAAATGAGTTAAACGTGTCTTCAAGGTGAAAACCAATTTATTAACAATGTTTCAAACCATAACAGCTTTCTAGCTGAAACTGAAATTATGGCAAGCTCAAGCTAAGGCAAACAACTCTATACCTTTCGACATACTGGCTAAACCAAGTCCTGAGAACAGTGGGAAATACGTGAGCGCAGCCTTGCCTTTTGATTTGATAAAAGAATTTCAAAACAGATTCCAAGATTTCTGAGAATGTAACCAATACATTGGTGCGATTTGGAACTCCGTTTTCACTTGACATAAATATGTCACCGGTCAATTTTCAAGTAGAATGCCTATAGCTGTGTAATCTGACATTCAACTTGAAGAAAAATGTGATCGTGTCTCTTTTGGACTTTTACGTGTCTTATCTTCCCAGAGATAAACATCCCTCACTTCACAATCACACCTTATTCGCATCGCTTTTAGGCAGCAGCTACATTTGTGAGCCACTATTTTCAAGAATGAAACACATTATGAGTAAAATTAGAACCAAAATATCTGATGGGCACCTTGAGAACTCAGTGAGAATTGCAGCCACTTCCATGGAACCAGATATTGGTGCTTTAGTTTCTCAATGACAAATATGTCACTAGTTTTACATTGCCCACCTTTCTTTTATTTTTATAGGAAAAAATATTTTTAAAAACCCCGAAGATGGGCTCGGTGCCTGTGGCTCAAGTGGCTAAGGCGCCAGCCACATACATCTAAGGTGGCAGGTTCGAACCCAGCCCGGACCCGCCCAACAACAATAATGGCTGCAACCAAAAAATAGCCGGGCGTTGTGGCAGGTGCCAGTGGTCCCAGCTACTTGGGAGGCTGAGGCAGGAGACTCGCTTGAGCCCAGGAGTTGGAGGTTGCTGTGAGCAGTGAAGCCATAGCACTCTACCCAGGGGGACAGCTTGAGGCTCTGTCTCAAAAAAAAAAAACAAAACCCGAAGATGTTTTATTACTTAAATATGTACATTTTCTGAATTAGTGATCACAAACTTGGAATCTGCTTGAGGATTTAGAAAGGCTCTCTGGCCCATCACCCCCTGATTGGATTAATACACTGTGGTATGTACACCATGGACTACTATTCAGCCATAAAATAGATGGAGACTTTACAACTTTCATGTTAACCTAGATAGAGTTGGAGAACATTCTCTTCAGTAAAGCATCATAAGAATGGAAAAGTAAAGTATCCAGTGTATTCAGTACTAACATGAAGCCAGTAGATGAATTAGTATGTGTCCACACGAGAGACAAACTCAACTTGATTCAAGTTGGGAGGAGAGGGAGGAGGGGGCTTGGTGTGCTCTCCCTAACAGGCACACCCCTGGGGGAGGGGACTGTACCTAACAAACCCAAACTTTGTAACCTAATTGTACCCTCATTTAAATTTTAATCTGAAAATTAAAAAACCTACTGAACAGGCCGCCGCATAATTAAGATTATCGCACGAGGACTTTTTTGCTTATCTGTTGTGGCCGATATCATGAAAATTATGCACAGACCTTTCTTTTTCACTTATCAGCTTTCCTTAGTGTTTGTGTATTTCACGTGTGACCCAAGACCACCCTTCTTCTTCTAATGTGGCTCTACCCTTCCCTGAAATTATCTCACTTGGTTACCAGGTCCCCTCCACTTCACCTGCTCCAGGGGTTCACTAGAAATTCTTCACAGTCTCTCTCACCTGCTGGTTTTTACTGTTTACTGATCAAGGTCACTATCAGCATACAAGCACACTGTGGTTCCTCCCACCTAAACAGAAATGAAAACAGACTCATTTCTGAAAACAGACTTTTTTGCCCCCAGCTACCATCCTACTTATGGGCTCCCTCTCTAGCAGGCATCCTTGGGTGAGTGATCACTGTTCCCTGTCTTAGATTCCTCTGCGCTCGCCCTTTTTCAGCCCCGTCCAGGAGGCTTCCCAATCGCTGTGACCCCAGCTACGCCCAGACTGTGTCCAGCTCACCTATATCTGCCACATACTAAGTCCACTGGCCAAGTCTCAGTCTTTCTTTAACATGGCCTTGACAGCACTGAACACAGTCCATCCTGCTTCCTTCTCAGTGGCTTTTCTCTGCTAGAATTTGGGACACCCCACTGTGTGCGTTTTCTTCCCCACTCCGAGCTGCTCCTCCTCATCCGGCTTCTGGTTCCTTTTCTTTTCTCTTGTTATGGGGCCCAGGGCTTATCCTTCGTCCTCTCCTCTGTCCACACGCCGCTCAGTGGTGATGTCATCCAACTCTGTCAGTTCCTAAATTGTCAGCCTTGTTGATTCTACAGCCTCCTGAAATACCCACTGGGCATTTCCTGGACATCACTACGGCAGTGAACCCAAGCTGGGCTACTGACATCCCTGAGACCTCATCTCCCTCCCTGACACCCCGCAGCCTTCCCCACCTCAGGTCACAGCAACTCCAGGCCTTCTGCTTTCTCACGTCCCACACATCGGAGTCATTCTTGAGCCCTCTTTATTTCTCTCGTTTCACAAACAATCCATCAATAGCAACAGTCCTCTTGCCTTTGCTTTCCAAATATTTCCAGATATCCAACACTTGTCACACCTCCTTCCCTGATCCAGCACCTGCTCTCACACCTATTACTGCAATCACCTCCTCACTGGCTCCTTTCTGCCACTTGTGCCCGCTCCTGCAGACTCTCCCCACAGCAGCAGAGTGATACTCCTAAGGCATAACCAATGTCATGTCCACAGCCTGTCATGGCTCCAATTTAATTCTGCATTCTCACCCTTCTCCTCCCATGCTGATCTGCTTGCCTTCAGGTTGTGCTCCTTGCTGCGGGCCTTTGTACTAGCTGTTCTCTCTGCTTGGGCAGTGCTTCATCCAGGGAGCAGCGTGCATGGCTAACTCACAGCACCTTCAGCTCTTAGCTCAGTTAACATCTTCCCCGTGAGACCTCCTCTGTGTAGGCCCCTCTGCACTGTACTCCTAATCCTCCCTCCTTCATCTACTCTGCGATGGTCTTTATTATCTTTGAAAATGCAATTTATTTGTTCATTGTGCTAATTTTTGTTATCTTTCGTCTCCAGCTAGAATATAAGTTTCAAAAGGAAAGGATCTTTGTTTTGTACACTGATGTGTCCTAAGCACCTAAAACAATGTTCAGCATATACTACACGGCCGTTAAAGGCTTGTCAACTATTTTTTTTTTTTTTTTTGAGACAGAGTCTCATTCCATAGCCCTGGGTAGAGTGTCCTGGCGTCATAACTCACAGCAACCTCAAACTCTTGGGCTCAAGCAATCCTCTTGCCTCAACCTACCGAGTAGCTGGGATTACAGGCACCCACCACAATGCCTGTCTAGTTTTTCTGTTTTTAGTAGAGATGGGGGTCTCTCTCTTGCTCAGGTTGGTCTCAAACTTCTGAGCTCAGGTGATCCATGTGCCTTGACCTCCCAAGTACTAGAGACTTTTTTTTTAGTAAAGAAAGTGTCGTCGAATTAGATCTTTGGCTATATGGCTTTCCAAAGCCTGAGGATGAAAAGCGATATGTTTAGACTATCAGGGCCAAAGGTCAAGTTCAGTTAATCCCTACAGGCTGTACACAGGCCCCTTATAGTCTCACTACCGTACCTTTCTGGCTCAGGAGACTTGTCTACTTTTCTTAACTTAGATCTATCTTCCCTTTTTCTTTTCCAAGGTCAAAATCTCCATTCCAGGTCTTTCTATTTTCTTTTTGTCTAGAGTTCAAATTGCCTATTTATTCCCAGGAATTCCCCCCATTCTTACATTTTTTGCTCAAGGACCCTGGTAGGTAGCAGCCTAAGTAGACTTTGCTCCTCCTGAGTGGAGGGTGGGCGGGGAGGGCTGTCTGTGGGGAGGAAGCAAGGAGCAGGAGTCTAGTGACTACTTTTACAGAAGACGCCTTATGCATCTTAGCCTCATAACTTGAACTAAAAATTCAGCATATGAGGGGGTACACGTGTTTTGGATACTTTGTTTTTGTACAGACTGAGGCAAAGTTATAAGCATGCCCTTTACCCAAATAGTGTGCGCTGCACCCAATAGGTGTGAATTTACTCATCCCCACCTCCTCCCTCTATCCTCAGAACTTTTAAGATTTGGTCAAATGTTTTAAATCCGTCAAAAATTCAGATGTACTGCATTTAAAGCATTAACACCATGCCCTGTAAAAATGTCATGTGAATGACTGCAAAACTCATCTATAAACATGTGAATAGCCAATGAGATTGGCTATTTTTCTTGTAGGACTCCACAGTACTGATTCAGAATGACTGTGGTTTTTATTCCTCCCTGTGCATCTTTGTGCATCCCGCCCACTATTTGTTTTTTTTTTTTTTTCTTTGAGGCAGAGCCTCAAGCTGTCCCCCTGGGTAGAGTGCTGTGGCATCAAAGCTCACAGCAACCTCCAACTCCTGGGCTCAAGCGAGTCTCCTG